CAATTATGATCATATAGTTAATGAAAGACGTACTAGAAACACAGCGCAAAGTGCTATTAGGCCAAAACATCTACCTAAAAATACTATGCCTGTGGTGAATGCCTCATCCATATCTGGTGCTAGTAGAACTGTTCAAGTGGAGCCAAAGAAAGCTAGATGTTTCAATTGCTATGAGGAAGGACACCTAATTGCAAATTGTCCTAAACCTAAACGAGAAAAAGGATCCTGCTTCAGTTGTGGTTCAAAACAACATTTGAGAAATGTCTGCCCTCAAAGGACTTCAGTGATGCCTGCTAGTACTACTATGGTTATAGGATTTTCTACAAAAGATGGGACTTATGAACTACCACTGGAAATAATGTATCAGAGTGATGAGGTTAAAGGTAGTATAACTTTAAAAGCCATGTTAGATACTGGTAGCCCAATAAGTTTAATAAAATCCAAATATGTGCCATTTAATTTGCTTAAAGAAAATAACGACAGTAGTTCCTATTTTGGTTTAAATAATTCTAAGTTAGAAGTTTTAGGTGTTTTAAATGAAAGAGTAATTATTAACAATGTGGATGTCCCAATAAGATTTTTTGTAGTAAAAGATGAAACCATGACTGTACCCTCAATTTTGGGAAGAGATTTTACCATGTTAGAGAATTTTGAGATCACTCTGGGCGAAAACGTCACTATCAAGAAGGTTCAAAGTAAATTTAATAATGTTGTCAATAATGAATTATTATTTATTGATTATGACTTTGATAAAACTAACTTTTCATTAAATATTAATGCTCAAATTGACCCAGTGGTAGGTAAAAAGGTAAATGATTTATTTCTTGAAGAATATTTAGAGCCTGAACGTTCTGATACCCCTGAAGTTGATTTAAAGATGAAAATTAGCTTAGTTCATGAACAACCATTTGCTTTTAGGCCTCGTAAGTTGTCTTATTCAGAAAAAAATGAATTGAGGAAAATATTAGATGTATTTTTAAATGATGGAATAATTAGAGAGAGTAATAGTCCTTATTACAGTCCGATTGTTTTAAGAGAGAAAAAAAATACAACTTTAAGGTTATGCGTAGATTTTAGGGAGTTGAATAAAGTGACAGTTAAGGATCATTATCCTATTCCTCTAATAGACGATCATTTAGACCTTCTGAAAAATAAGAACTATTTTACTAGCTTAGACTTGAAACATGGGTTCTATCATGTAAAAATGGCAGAAGATTCCATAAAGTACACTTCATTTATTACTCCTTTGGGACAATTTGAATATTTATTTATGCCTATGGGTTTATGCAATGCACCCTCTGTATTCATGAGATTTATTAATCACGTCTTCAAGGATTTGATAAGGGAAAATAAAGTCTTGATCTATCTAGATGATATTCTTATTGCAACAGAGTCAATTTCTGAACATATGGACATTTTAAAGAATGTTTTAAAAATTGCTGTCAAAAACCTATTAAAGTTTAGAATTGACAAATGTTCATTTTTACAGAATCAAATTTTATATTTAGGGTATTTGATTGATGGCAATGGCATCAAACCAAATCCCAATAATGTTTTAGCTGTTGAGAATTATCCAATTCCTGATGACCAAAAGAAAGTTCAAAGATTTTTAGGCTTAGCTTCATACTTTAGGCGTTTTATTCAAGGATTTTCTGTCATAGCAAAGCCACTATATGACTTAATTAGGAAAGAATCAAAGTTTGAATTTAAAGAATCACTATTACAGTCATTTAATACTTTGAAAACCAAATTAATTGAAGCCCCCATCTTGGCTATCTATTCTCCTGAATTAGACACAGAACTACATTGCGATGCTTGCACCCAAGGATTTGGAGCAATACTTTTACAAAAGCAAAATAATGATTTGTTTCGACCAGTTTCATATTTCAGTAAAAGAACTAATTCTGCGGAAGCTAAATTTCACAGTTATGAACTAGAGATGCTCGCTATTGTGTATGCTTTAGAAAGATTTAGGGTTTATGTGCATGGAATAAAAATTAAAATTGTAACTGACTGTAATTCGATCAAGCAAGCTCTTAATAAGAAGGAAATAAATCGTAAAATTAATAAGTGGGCCTTGGTTTTACAGAATTATGATTATAGTTTAGAGCATAGGGATAATAACCGAATGAAACATGTAGACGCTTTAAGTCGAGCCAATAGTATATTTATTTTAGAGGAGAACACGTTTGAACAGAATTTGGCTTTAGCTCAAAATTTAAACCCAGAAATTATTAAAATTAAATCTATTTTGATCGATAGAGAAGACAAAAAATTTGAAATGCGAAACGCATTGGTTTATAGAAAAAATAAAAATGATTCTTCGTTTTATGTCCCTGAATCTATGGAAGGCAAAGTCATATATAATTGTCATGATAATTTGGGGCACGTAGGAATTGATAAGACCATAGAATATCTTTCCAGAGTGTATCGGTTTCCAAAGATCCACGATAAAATTAAAACTTACATTCAAAACTGTATAAAATGTTTAACATATTCGAAAAAAACTGGTTCACAAGAGGGTACCTTGCATTCTATTCCTAAAGGAGATAAACCTTTCATAACGATTCACATTGATCATTTCGGTCCTCTTGAGAAAACTCCAAGAAATAAAAAATATATTTTTGAAGTAATTGACAGCTTCACTAAGTTTGTGAAATTTTATCCTGTTAAATCTGTAACTACTTCTGAAGTTATTTCTAAACTAGAGGAATACTTTAATAATTATAGTAAGCCAGTTCGTATTGTGTCAGATCGAGGTACAGCTTTCTCCTCTTACGAATTTGAAAATTTTATCAACATTCACGAATTATTTCACATAAAAATAGCATCGGCTTCTCCTAAATCCAATGGTCAAATTGAGAGGGTAAATAGAGATTTGACCCCAATGCTTTCGAAGCTAACTTTAGTGACTAATAAATGGGATAAACACTTGGGGGATGTAGAATTCTCAATAAATAACTCTATTTGTAGATCAACAGGTAAAAGTCCTGCTGTGTTATTATTTGGGGTAAATCAGAGAGATAGAAATGATAGTCTTAGACATTATTTAGAGCTTGAAAAGTCTGAAAATGAAGTAACAGATCTTGATGTAGTAAGAAATGAAGCTTGTAGACAAAATGCTAAAGTACAGGAATATAATAAAAAATATTTTGACTCTAGACATAAAACTCCTAAGGGATACAATTTGGGTGATTTTGTGATGATAAAAAATGTAGACGTAAGCCCAGGGATGAACAAAAAATTAATTCCCAAATTTAGAGGGCCTTATGAGGTTGTAAAAGTACTGGATCATGATAGATTCGTAGTTAGGGATATTGAAGGATTTCAGATAACACAAATCCCTTATGAAGGTATTCATGGTCCAGATAATTTGAAGTTATGGTTACCCACTTGTTCTGATATTATATAACTTGTATTTCTTGAGTATAATATGTTATTGGTACTAATAGCTACTTATCCATACTTTCTCATGATTTTATTGTTTTGTGTCACAGGATAGTTTATATTGTCTTCGAAATATTATTAGAATAACTTATGATATGCAATAACTTATGAATTATGAATCTTTCACACTCAAATTATGTACATGGATTTTTATGAGATATTCATGAATTATGTTTATGTCTACTTCACAAATCACATAGAAATTCATTCCATTATTTTGTCTTTATCAATGAATCTGTATTGACTAATTTTATGTTGTGTTAGATTTATTGATTAGATACCTACTTGCATTATGTTACCTATGTCAAGAATTTTAGTCGAGGACGACTCAAATGTCAGGTTGGCCGAAACTGTAGTGATACCAGTGATACCTCGACAGGTATATTTCTGATTGTCGAGTTAGTTGTTATTAATTGAATATTGTCAAGTTGAGTGTCATTATATTGATTATTGTTCGTATAAAACTTGAGAATTATTGTATTTAAATAGAAAGTATTTGAAGACGTAAGAAGTTTCCTAGGTTCTTAGTACTACATTTTATAAATTTATTTTAAATTAATTAGGTATTTATATAAAAATAAACTTAACATTCTGCTTATCTAAATTTAAATTCAAAATTACTTATTTATTAAAAAAAAAAAAAAAAAAACTAAACTTTCTGCTTATCTGAACTCGAACAAACAATATTAAAACTAGGAGAAAACAAATAAATAAAATATTCAAACTAAAGAAGGAGCGAGAAAACAAATAAAACATTCAAACTAAAGGAAAAGGTGCGAGAAAACAAATAATATATCCTTATGATCATAATATACCATTACCAATACCCAGGAGTGGTTTTACCAAAAACTCTTTAATGTATGAAAGTTTAAAGATATACAATCATTTGCCGGATGAGTGGAAGGGTCTCCATGATTTTAAGAGTTTTGTAAAATGTGTAAAGTCCGTTCTAAAATTGAAGGCATACTATAGTTTAGAAGAGTTCTATAAGTCGTTTAATCTTATATTAATTTTTACTTTGATTGTTTTGTTTAACTATTATATCGAGATTTTAAAAAAGTATTCCTGTTTTTGTGTAAATTTTGTATTTTAACTTAATTTTATCTAATCGGAATAGTATTTGTAGTATATTTGAACAATTGACTAGCCCTAAGTTATGTGTCTATAATTTATTTTGTATTGAGTATTGCTAAGATTTAGAATTTAGGGTTAAATTTATATTTTTTAGGCTTTGTCAATGAGTTTATTCTTTAGACAATAAAGCGTTATTTGATTTGATTTGATTTGGTATCGGCCTTATATCGGTATCGGCCTTCTATAAAGCCATATCGTATGGGTATCTGCAATATCGGTTTTTTAAGAAAAAAACCGTATCGGTCGATCCCTGAATACAAGAAAAACAGATTTTTGAACAGTTTTACCACCTGCTATTGGACAAATTACATAATGATTAAATATTATAAAGAAAAGTTTGAGTATGGTCATGGTATTCTAGTTTGGATAGTAGCTCTTATTAACTACATTATTAGCTATCTACATTATTGTTAACTCACCTGACACTGGGTTTAGGTGATGGCTGAGGACTAGCACTTGGTTTGGGCAAAATATTCAAGTGAGGTTTCAGCTTGATGATATTCTGAGGTTGAGAAGTCTGTATAGGCCTCGTTATCAAATTATTGTGTATAATTTGCATCACAGGAAAATTCGGTTGTGGTGTAGGAGGCTTTAAGCTTGGTGAAGGTGACTTCAAACTTGCAGGTGATGAATATGGTGACTGCGGATAATTATTGATGGGGCTCGTATTCGAATAGGCCGGCGACATACTGGCTACCAGCTGAGGTTTTTTTACTAAGTTTAGGTTATTCGAACCTACCACAGTGCAATTTGTGCTCATATTTTCGTATTCGATTTTTTCATGTTTAATTTGAAAACCAGTATTCTTTGGTGATTTGCACATTTTTTGAAAAGATTTATTAGGGGTTTGAGACATGTTTTTTTTATCACTCACAGCACTAGTCACTGTCTCTATTTGATTAATATCACTACTAGAATTAAGTACATTTTCGATTAAATTGGAAATATTAATATTTACACCTGGAATGTTAAAATGTTTTGTAGTACTACTAGCTTATGGTCACTAATGTTCGCATTGTCTTTTTTTAGTGTTTTTTTTTTTAGTCACTAGCCGAACTCAAACAAAGCCATTTCGTTATTGTTTGAATTAGAGATTGGTAAATAATTCGGGGACATTATTTAACGAATGGCGAAAAAGGCATTTTTAATAGAAATTCACGTTTTTAGCACTGAAACTATTACGAAGGCATTCAAAATAAAACACTTAAATCCATTATTCACTGGTCGAACATGTTAACGATGTGATGATCCTAGACAGCGTCGGATTTACCTTGTTCACACCTGAAACAAAACGAATAGATCTAAATAACATAACCTCTCACTTAAATCACAAATTAAGACCAGAAAACCGCCATTTGTAGGCCTTAAACACTCACGTAATGTTTGTGTAGATTATCACGCGCCAACAATCATTTATTTCAACGACCAGACGTGCACGCGAGCATTGTTTATAAACAAAAATTTGCAAATTTGCAACAAGATATCATTGTGCCGCCATCTTTTTACATTTTACGATGCTCCTTTTTTCTTGTCCCCTCGGTGTTCTTACGACGGATCGGCAATCAAAGCAAGCAGCATATTTCCCCCCCACCCCTTCACTTCTATGACCTAAAAATGGACCGATCCATCACCTTGGCATTCCCCTATTTTCCTAATTATTACCATTTTATCCAATTTATTAAGCATTTAAATGACATACGATACATTTTAAATGGTTTTATGGTTGGCATTTAATAAATTTCAGACGCCCACCATTCACGAAAACAATCCCGAGTTTCATAAAAATAAATCAACATTTTCGGAGTGGGGATGGCGGTGAGCGTAAAGGAGTGGGGATGTGACAAATGTCCAAAAATTATAAAACTTTTCTTTCGATTTTAAACAATCAATTTGCCGTTAATTTACCTATTAATAATAATGTTGTTAATTAATTTTTCCATAAAAATGATTGACAGACAATTTGTAGGTGATATAAAAAAAATCGATACATAAGTAAGGTTACAAGGTAAGGACTGGTAAAAAACGCTTCGATTTCGTGAAAAACAGATGCTCGTGAAGGTCATTTTTGAAAAAAATAAGGCTTTTTAAGGCTTTCGATAAGCTGAAATGGCATAGGAATCCCGTCTACGGCACTTTCGTTGGTAAAACGATAAAATTCTACGTACCTTTTACAATTTTCACTTCACGGGTTGCGTCGGGGCACACTCTGGGCAAAAGCAGGGAATGCAGCGATCCGATTGGTCAGCCGACGGCGTCATATGATACACAAAAAAATAACATTAGCTTTGAGGTTAGTCATGATCACCGGGGATTTTAGACTTTATGACGTCTGGATTTAAAGGTTATCGCTTTGTGCACGGTATAATGGGCCCAACGATGACTTAATACTGTTTTTAATACTAATAATTGTTTTTTCTTTTTTTTTGGGCATGAAGTAGGAGGAGGTGTGAAATGTAACTGGTAGTTGGTAGCCAATAAAAATTTAGGGGTTCTGGTTTGAAAACCACCGTTCATTCATTCATTTCTTTCAACACCTATAGGTATTTGAGAAATCCTCTATTTGACAGGTAAACGGTAATTATTACCTAATCAACATAATCGAATTAATTAATAATTCGCCAATAAGTAAATGAAAAATCTCAAATATACCTAATCTAATCCATAATTCAATTCATCCATCTCAAAAAATCTTGTCATGGAAAGATAAGGTGACCGCGCGACGTATACGCAATCAAGTCAAATAATCGATGTATATGATATGCAAGAAGACAAAAGGCAATCAATAACATAACAGGGCGCAAGGCGGTCATTTACACCTTTCGGCCGCCATAGTAATAAATCAAAACCGCCTGAGAAAAAATAACTTCATATTTCAAAAGGCTGTAAAGTGGAAAAAAAGGCGCCGTAAAAACCACGTGTATGTCAATATGTCACGTCCATGTTCCATAAATCTCCCCATCATAACAAAACATCAACATCAAAAAATCAAATTTAATTCGGTTGTTACGTCACGTTTTCCGACGGGTCCATCGGAAACGTATGGAAGGGACGAACAAAGGATCATCATGCCTGTACTCCCCTACATCCCCCACTATTTCTGCGCGATCTCGTTCAACCGCTGAATATGGTGGGGCAAGAGGGGATTAATTGAGGGGCCCCTTAAACCATACGGACAAAGCCGATTAGGATTCCCTGAGCTGGTTTACGTATTTTTATTTTTTTTTACTTGCGCTCTATTTGTGGTGTTGACAGGTTGGGCCAAAAATTATAAAATACAAGGGGTTAAGATCAATCTTTTATCGTCCTAATCTTTCGTTTTGTTGTTGGGAATCGTGCATTTATCTGAATCAATCAATAATTCCATCTGGATCAACTGAAATAAATCTGTTCGCTCCCATGTTTTGTACACTGATGTAACTGATTAACGATTTTACGATTATCGTCATAGGAATACTTTAGCTTTTCGATCATCAATCATCTCTTTATTTTTAGAAATAATCCATAACGACCTAAACCATGAAAAATAGGCAACCAGTCATACATATACACATTATATTATTTTTCATTTTGAGGAAAACGAAAAACTAAAATATTGGTATCATAGAGACAATCGATCAAAGAATGTGAACCAGATATGAAACTATTCGCCGCGGGAAATTTCTACTTTTCTGCGATAATCATAATGGCGGCCGATGCTAGGTGACAAGCAATGAAATTGGCGCCATAAATTTAATTTGAACAACAAACAACCATGACATTTTTTATCAAAACACTCTTTTCTGTGTATTTTGTGGTGTTTCAAGGTGATTTTTTAGTGCTAAAGGATATTGCTCGTATTTTAAGATGTGTCAAAGTCAAAAGGCAAGAATCGTAAACTCTAATGGCCGTTTGCACCGACCATTTTATGGGATGAAATTTGTTTAACGATAATCAACGCTTAAGTGACATTTTTACATTTACAAATGTCACTTCAAACGTTGATTATCGTTAAATTGCTCAATCGGTTAAATCATTCCTAACTTTCAAGATGGCCGCCGATACGGGTGATTGTTCAGTTTATACTGACAATTATTATTTTATCGTAAATTCGAAGTTTATCAAGTGTTATAAGTGTAATTTAAAGTTTCATTTAACGTATGTAAGCATAAAAGACTCATAGCTAAAAATAATAATCGTGGAAACCCCAAACATTTTCTGGTTTTGTAATACTGGATTTGTTATATCCAGGACATAGGTACCTTTCTTTTATTCGCGTGTATTGCTTAGTTTTGTATTGTTAGTATTTCCTAGTCTAGTATTTGTATTATTTTTTTTTGTAAATCAAATAACTATACTTAGGGTGGATTTTCATGCATCCGTTTGTCCGACGAAAGATGTCCGTTTAAAATTCTATTCTGACATAATCGTATAAAAATATGTCAAAATAGAAGATTTAACGGACATATTTCGTCGGACAAACGGATGCATGAAAATCCACCCTTTGTTGTCAGTTTTCTTTGCATATGTAATTACTAGAATCAGTGTTAGTCAAGAGTAAATAAATAAATAAATAAATAAACTCTTTCATTTGCGCGTTTACTATGTGAACGCATGGAAAATATGGGAAACTTGCTTTGGGTTAGTTTGCGTTCAAAAAATTGTGCCAATTCCAATGGCCACACCTACAGTGACTAAATAAACTTTTCCATACAGTGACAAAGGAGGACCCGCCGCCATTTTGTACCTAACCTCTTTTTACTTTTAAATAATAATCATATAACGATTCAACCCTCTGAATATGTCATGTCACCACAGTTGAGTTCGGAATGGGACTTTAGTGCCGTGTTCGTGTAGTGCAGGGTTATATCACGTGATGAAGGTTAATCGGCGGTTTAACACCGAATATACCATCATTTTGTAGGTGAGTTCGGAATGGTAGAAACTGTCGACACTTTTTATACTAATGACACTATGGCGTTTGTTAATTGGTAAATAAAGAGAAGTTTGGTGTACACTTTATTTCCGTTTGGAAATAAGTTGGTAACACCGGGGAACACCGTTTACCCGGTATAAAATGATGGTGTATTTGGTGTTACACCGCCAATGGCATGTAATACTGACAGTTGAGTTGAAGAGGGCGCTTCTGTACTTGGAGCTTTTTAAATTTTGGCGCGTAAATAATCGAATGAAGTGTGGTTTCAAGACAAGCTGACGCTGACACTTTTGAAAATAATCTTTTAGGACCACTGAACGTTTTGGAAGATATTTTAGCTTATTCAGTGTTCATTGTTCATATATAGTCATCTTTCCTTCCTTTCCTTCTACTTATTAAAACGGTTTAAAACTATTGACATTTACCGCCAAAATTCAAAGCACTCCAAGTTCACTCGCGCCCTCTACAAAATTTCGGGGAACTTAACTGGATATTTGCTGCCATTAGCTGTGCCTTCGTCACGTGATATAACACTGCACTACACGAACACCGCACTAGCACTGCACTGGAATCCCATTCCGAACTCAACTTGTACCGAGTAAACGGTGTCCCACCATCTTTACACCATTCGGGCATCAAGTTATTTCCAAACGCAAATAAGGCGTACACCAAACTTACTTTTATCAATTAACGAACGACACAGTGTCAATAGTGTGAAAAGTGTCGACACTTTGTATCATTCCGAACTCACCTCATAAAAAACAAAGTGTTCAAAATTGACCTGAATACCGGCCCCTGGAATGGCCCGCCGATCCATAAATTTGCGGCAAATTGAGATGGAGAATGTGGGGTAAACCTATCTCTATTTATCTTATCGGCGAATTATGGAAATCTTTCTTTATCTAAAAAATAATATATTTGAGGTTAGGAATATCCAAACCTAACAGCCATGAACTGGAGAGAGAAAGGGATCCCCCACTATGTAGCTTTTTTGGACGCACTAAGCGAGATGACAAATGCCATAAAAATATGCGACAACGGTCGGTGCCATTCCAGATACGTGTAGTTTATAGTTCATTGTTGTGTGTAGTGTGCCTTTTCGTGAAAATAATAATTCTTATTCACCGGCGGACGTGTCTTTCCATAAGTTTTTATCAAATCCTACATTTGTCAAAATTTGATTACCCAAATCAGAACTGATACTCGCAAAAGTAAGGGAAATCCACGGCCCATCAAGTATACAAAGATATCCACGTTCAAGTTTAGTTTGCAGAAGCTGTTTGCTTCCCACATTTTCTTTCCAATTTCAAATTTCACCATTCGTGACCATTCTTTGTCGGTCATTGTCATTTTCCATTCACTGAACAAAGATACCTAACTCATCGGTGGAGTCACCGATTAGAATAAAAACCTGGGGATTGCTAAACACCCTATACACTTGACATTGACAAGCAAGCAAATGTTGGCGGAAATCTGAATGTTTTCATACTTTTTTTTATCAACGTATTTAATTTCAACACGAATTCAATTCAACGTAGCGTACAGCAGAACAATCGCAAAGCGTTTATCAACGTTTGTATCTGGTGAACGCGGCCATTATGCTTGCAAAAATGGCGACCGAGTTCATTGCTTTCAACACAAATTCATCCGTTCAGCAGAACAATCGCAAAACGCATGTTGTTTTATTCAACTGTTGAAGCAACGTTGGCAGCGTTGAGCATCTAAGCGTTGTTAAATTCAACAAAAGAACAGTCGATGCTCCATCATAAATGTTGTTTTTTCCATCGAAGTTTTACGATGGCTACACCGTTGGAGCCACCACCAAGCCAACGATCTAAGGAGATGGTTTTTAGTACAGTGGTTAAATAAACCTTTACATACAGTGGCGACAATAGAGGTCCCGCCGCCATCTTGTTCCCAACCTCTTGTTACTTTTAAATATTAATATATAGGATTTAAATGGACATCATCTATCATAAAAAATTGAAGTCGACGTATTTGATGACCATTATTAGGTCCATCAAATACGTTGTTTTCCATGATTTATGATGGATGTTTACCTAAATCCCATATATTCATATTTTAAAGTAACAAGAGGTTGGGAACAAGATGGCAGCGTTTTCAATATAAATATATGGGATTTTAGAACCAATCAAAAATAAGACAGCAATTGTCGCCACTGTGGGTAATAGAGTCACTGTAGTTTTTAGCAGTGTTGACTGTTTCATGATGTCCAGATTTCAAGTAGAGATAATTAGATTAAAGTTGAATAGAATAAAAAGTTTTTAATTAAACCTATCAACCCAGTGGAGGTCGCATTGACCTATGAAAACTTTGAATTTACTACGTTTGTGTCTGAACGTTTATTAAAAGTTTTCTACCCGTTGTTTTATCCATCAACTCACCGGCACAATAACAAGCCAACAGAAATTCTCTGATGACCAACAGCCAGATAACGTTGCCAACAGCAGAACGGTGAATAAAACAACATGCGTAAGGGCCGGTTTCTCAATAGCGAGTCACCCCCGGGTTGGTTTTAACTCCAGGGTTAACATATTAAATTGCAATGTTTACCCTGGAGTTAGCTTATCCCGGAGGTGACCTGCTATTGAGAAACCGGCCCTAAAAGCGTTTAAAAAAGGTTTGTATCTGGACATCTGGGAATTTATTCTCGAAACAGGGGAGCAGCATTCTCATGAATATGAAAGTTCTGTCTTTGTCGTCCGTATTCATATTTCCATAACACTGACAAATGACAGAGTAATCGTTCTCATGAGAACGATGTTCCTCGGTTTTGAGAATAAAGTCCCTGGTGGACGCGGCCGTCATGTTCGGCATCTACAAAGGCAACACAAATGCTTTCCTGATGAACGTCACCATAATATTTGACCTGAACGTCCATATTGAATCACGTGGTCTGTATTGTTAAAAGCCAATGCAATCCAAGTGCAATCATAACAACCTGTGGTGCAAACACCCGTTCTTGCAAACACCCTACTACGTCAAGGCGAGAAACGACACATTAGCTACGTCATCACTGGTACTTTGGCGTCTACAAATTACAGAAACATACATTTATCCGTTAGATATTAGAAAGTTCTCGTGCGTCAGACGCTACGCTAATACGGTACCGCTAACAATACGGTATTTCACATGGTATTTTATAGTTCTCGGGCACGAAGACACATAAATCCTCTAATCCTTTATTCTGTTTACATTTTGACAGCTGAGATGAGTAATCTAACCTCACTTTTTTTGCTTGTTTTCTAACTTTTATTTATTCTGAAGATTCCTGACCTTGATTAATTTTCCCTTGGTGTTTTTTATGGAGGAATTATTAGACGTTGCTGTTTTTGCAGACATAAATGGAGCGTAAACTAGTTTTGACATAGAATAGCGTTATGGTAAGGCATCCGGTAAGTTCCGTTAGATAGCGGGCTCCGCTAACGCTAATACCGTAAGAACTGTCATACTTGTCAAATAGCGTTACGGTATTTGAAATTTGGACGGCACGAGAATTCTCTATTTGTGAAAAAATATACCGGTATGAACCGTTAAAACCAATGAGTTAAAACCGAAATTCTTGGTCCGAACCAGATCGAAATATTCCTCAGAACTGGAACCGATATTTGTCATTACGCTTTGGACCGGAACCGACATTTAATTTCGGTCCGGGTTCCTGCTTTCCATGAAAAATCACCAAATCAAAAGCTAGTGCATGCATCAGATTATAGATGGAGCTTATGTAAATGACATCTAAAATACCACTGTGCTCATTGACCTTTAAACTGCTGACAGAGAGTGTTCGATGGTCGAAAACTGTGCCACATTTTTTGAAATATATACTGATACGGAATTTTAGGGAAACATACTTCAATTCACACAATACCAATAAAGATCTAAAAAAACTAACCGGTCCTCGTAATAAATGCTACTCTTTGTATGTTGGTATTTTACACAAAAAGAGCTAATGCAAACTTAACTGCAACCACCTATCAACTTTGAAAACAGACAAATGAAACAAATATCTTAGTTTTGTTAATCTATTTTATTAGTACCTACATGTATAAATTAAAACATAAAGTATATCACTATAAAATACATATTAACAAAGAAAACAAAACAATGGTAAAAAATAAATTAATACTGGAAAATGAGAACTACATTAGACTAGCAATATGTTTTTTTTATAAGTAGTAGTTGATTCAATAAAAAAACAGTTTCTATAATCAAGACTAGTTTTTAAAAAAGAAATTGATTTCTTTAGAAAAAAAAAGATAAATTAATTATAAAACTAACAGCTTAAAACCACCATCAGAATCGTCAGTATGCGTTTAAAATAAATAGTTGGTATTTCAAATCAGGCATAATACAGAAGGGACAGACAATTTTCCTGATTATAAAAACCTAAAATCAAAATGTTTAATCATTTTCCATAAAGATCCTGCGAATGGTTTTTATACGCAACCTAAAGCTCACTCAACAATAAATAAATAAAGCTCATAAACAATAAGGAAGACCCAGAATAAGTTTGTTTTTTGTGCTTAGAGGTGACAAGAATATTATTGTTTATCTCAATTAAGGCATTTTAGTTTGGTATTGATATTTCCTTTTGTCTACGATCTCTAAAAATATTAAATACATATTTGTTCCTAACACGTCTTTGGTCCTAATAATGCTCGAGAAAATACCTAGAAATATTTTTATTGATCCAAAAAGGAATATTATTGGTTTTATAATATAGCATTTTTGGTATTTCATAGAAAAAGTTATGTATTATTCGAAATTGACTGTGCTTGTCACAGAGCATAGTAAGATTTAAATTTTTGGATCAGTAAAAAGATATTGCTTGTATCTTTTCACACAAAACTACCACTATAAGCTACCATCTATCACACACATATTATTCTAATAAATAGTTTGATCTCTTCTAGAGTATTTTTCCTTAAAATAAGGGCTTGGGGTTCATTTCATAATTAAACTTTGCAGGCACCCTAAAAAAAAATTGTATATAGTTCATATTATCTGGCAAGATACTTATTTAACAAGCTGGTTTCTAATTTGTTTCTATTTATGTAATTTACCTTTTGGAATGTTTCAGGTTCTCTGCCAGTTCTTCAAGCATTTATCAGCCTAGCATTGATATGGGCTTCTTCTATAATATTATTTATATCTTGCCTTTCTTCTTGTTCAGCTTCTTCAAGCCACTGGGCAATTTCAGTTATGTACATGTGACGTTGCAAAACGTCTCTTGTCCTTGCTCTTCGTCCAATGTATGCTGAAACACCCTAGAAAAAAACGAAACATTATTAATGAATAAAACGTGTTTTCAACATACATAGATTATAAATGAATAGTTAATTTTTACATACCCCATATACAAAATCCATTTGTAATGCTTCCAGTAATTTTGGGTCACCAACTTGACGTTCCAAAGAGTTCCAATCAACTAATACTTCTTCATGCAGCATAAGCTCCTCTAAAATACGAAATTTATTTATTTGTAGAATAATCGGATCTAGCCAACTAACCGTCTCTCTTAGATGTTTGCTGTTTATACTGGATTCGAAATCTAAACGCTTCCAAAACCGAAGCCACAACAATAGTCAGTACAACCATAGTGAACAAGTAGAAACACATGAAAAATAATCTAAAAAACATATATAATTATTTGAAATCAATGTACACATTCTAGTTTACCTTGAATATGGAGCTTGAGCTACGGCAGCATAAGCATCCATAATAATAAACCAATTATTGACTACGGTAAGCTCAAACAAGGTAACTCCAGAAGTAAGTAGGTTTGAAAAGTTGTTAAGATAGTAATAGGCAATACCGGAATTAGTGGTATTTGAGTATTTATAGAAAGGCTCAACAGTAGATTTTCTAAAAAATAATACACAGATTCAAATACACTATAAATAAAAATATAAACATAATCTTACCGACAGCAATCTTTCAAATCATACTCAGAAAATAATTCCATGCCGACAATGGCAAAGAAATAGTACATCACCATCATGACTACTGCTGTGGACCACATAAGTGGAGACAAGAGAACTAAAGTACCAAAAATGTCTCTGTAACGCTTTTTAAGCTTAAATAATCGCAGAATCCTAAAAAACAAAAGATTTTTATTAAACTTTCCTTGCCGAATTTTGATTGGTTGGATTTTAGTTTTCATGTGTAAGAAGCAGCTGTATACCTTAATGGTCTCAGAATAACCACAACAGTGAATCCAGGAGACATCAGGAGTAAAGTCGATCCCCAAATAGCTAATAAAGTAACTGATAAGTCGTAGGTATTCCATCCTGAAGAAATATACTCGGTCCAGCCATAGCTTATAATTCTTAACATGGCTTCGATTAGGAACACTGAAAAACAAAGACAGAAATATTTTTTCAAACAGTAAATCTGAGAATACTTACGCGAATAGAACAACCAAGCGTCCCACGAGGCACAAAAAATTCTGGCGCCTTCTTCTAAACTGCCTGAAGTTTCCATAACTCTCAAAAACATTGCCAAAGTGTTCGTGATGATTAGAGCATCTGAAAAATGAAATGGAGTGAGTGGATTAGAAGAATTATTTTTTAAATGAGTTACATGACAGCTAATCGGAAGGATTTTTAATTATAAAATTGATTATACATACTTAGGACTAGAATGGACAATATTTATACTTACAAACGATATGCTCGAAATAATCCCACGACACAACCAATCTAGCAGTTCTACACAAAGTCCTCAACGGCGGCCAAGCAGCAGAAAACCATGGATCAGGAGGGTCCTTGTGACGCCATCTCAAACTAACGCCATCATAAATATTGATGAATTCGTCTTGAGTCAACAGACCTGTATTGGACACGTTCAGCTGCCTGAATATTAGTACCACATCTCTTTGACCTGAAATTTTGTTTTTCACAAATACCCTGTGTTATTATGTGGGTACTCACTCATTTGAGGTGCAAAATATCTCATCAACCCCTGAAATTGTTTAAATCTTATTGTATGTGGATTCTGCCTGCTGACCAACAACCGAAAGGCTAGCTTGCAAGCTTGTCTCTTGTGTAGTAGTAACTTTCGGAATTTATCTTTTTCTATTCCGGTGAATGTTTCATAAACCACGGCCAACATTAAATTCATTAAAACATACAGAACTGTTGATATGTATGAAATAAAGAAGATGGCGCTCCATCTTGAACGGTTGTATGAAGGCATCATAACATCTGGGAAGCTAGAAAATGTTTAATAGTTCACATGTTATTAGAAAATAAAAAGATTCTCAAAGAACTTTCTTCCTTTAGGATTATGGTTCAATATAAGACATAAAATTATGTAATAACACACAAGCGATAACATTTTGTGTGTTTTAAAAATCCAAAATCCTAAGGAATGAAAGGTCAAACCAAATACCTTTTTCAAGCGATTGAAATTGAGTTTTTACTTACTTGGCTGTAGTAAGAAGAACAAACATGCTTATAAAACTATCCGGCAATGTTTTAAAATAGAGATTCTCATGGCTGCTGAATAAAAAATAACCTAGAATTTGATGTTAAAATTGAAACAACATTAAAAATCTCATTGAGAAATTACCCAATAAAGCATAGCTGCAAACAAAAAACAGTAATAACACCAACATATCCAAAATAGGCGGTAACGATTGCAAAATCTGCCTAATATATCTTCTGACGGCTCCGCAAGCTCTGGTGTCCACCAGAAAAATCGGCCTCAAGCCTCTGGTAACTCGAAAATGGGAGGACTGTCTTATCAAAACTATAATAGCTTCCACTACCATTATCTTCAAAGTTACACACTAAAAAAAAAATTCAGTTTAGTAAAACATCATTAATAATATTAGGTTTTACTTTGATCATAGTCCTTTTATGATTTAGTATAGTTGACCATCCAATCCATCGCAATTTGAGTGCTAATTCGATACCGATTACACCCAAACATACTAACTCTAAAGTACTATGAATTATTGCTGGTAGCTCGAATCTTTCGACGGCGGGATCTTCCACTAGCGCTAGTAGTAATAGTACTATGGAAAAGAATAGGTCCAGGCCGTAGTACCATTTATTGTGTACCAAGAGGTAAGCTGGTAGGGCTGAGGGATGTCTGGGATGAGAGTCGAATTTTTCATTATTTTCGCCTTCCTGGAATTTTTAGTATTTATTATAATCTCAAAACCTAAAGAATTATTTCAGCACAAATATACCTCTAAAAAGATAGCTGCTTCGTGGTAATTCATTTCCCAATGGTCGACGTCGGCACTGTCCATGTCTCTGGACAAGCTCGATCTGCTTCCCATCTCATCAATAGGATCTGGAAAACACAAAATATTAACTTTATTGAACTTCAGAGGTGCTACATGATAATAATGAAGTTTTTTTTAAATTATTTATTTATTTATTTATTTATCAATGGATCGGAATCAGTGTAAATACACTGGTATTTGAACGTACAGATATTTACAATAATAAATGTTCACAGAGCTCTTAATAATAATTACCTAGATGTTAATGTGTTACTATTTTTGATCATTTAGTCAAATTTCGAAAAATGAAAGTCATAATTATACATATTATTTATTTCCAAAACATTAGGTTTTTCTCGAGTTCCTGCACTATATTTCTTACTTATATGTTTGTTTCGAGGTTTATTTGGTCCATTTTGATTTCCTTAGCTACATTTTCTTCTTTGGGCTTATAAACATTTCTGTCAGTAATTTTTTTCTCTTAAGTTTTTTCCAATTTTTGTAGAATTCTTATAAATTCCCCATTCACATCTTATCCTGATGAGTGGTTTATTGGGAGATTTTTTAAGTAGATTTTTGTGTTTTATATTATTTTCCTGTTGTTATTCCAGCAACAATGATGTAGTTTTGTTTTTTGTTCTGGCTTTGTTGTTGATCCTAGTCTCCCGTACTCTTATTCGCTCCTTAAAATCATTGTTTTCCTGTCTCAAAGCTTGTATTTCTGTCATGAAATTTTATGTAGCACTTCTGCACTTATATGGGACAGATTTTTCTATATGGTGCATATTTTCATTCATTTTTTTGAATGTGCAGCACGATTTGATGGATGATCATAACAAGATATCAGATCTAAATCCAAGTTTGAGTCCAGGCCCTAATAATATACCCGTTGTTTTGTTGCATAATTGTGAATTTTTTCTTGCTAAGGTTTTGAGTGGGATTTTTAACTTGTCGTTGGTTAGTGGATTTCACCAATTTCTAAAGTTCTTGGTTACTGAGAAGATGGCTCCTCTTTTCAAAATCCATAATAATAAATGAGCAACATGGCTTTATGAAGAGTAGATCAACTGTGTCTAATCTGTTATGTCATGAAGAGTTATTGTTGGAAGGTCTCTAGAATGGGAGTCGAGTGGACTCAGTTTTCCTGATTTCTCGAAGGCTTTTGACAGGGTTGATCATGGGATCTTAATAAAAAAGCTTCAAGCCATGGGGAATTTTGGAGTTCTTGAGTGGTTTCAGTAATGGTAAATAAAGGTAAATTATATTTCTTCTGAAATATTGGTTACATCGGGTGTACCGCAGGATGGCCATCTCTGCCAGAATGCCTGTTTAATTGCTTTCTTAATAACGTGAAGGATGTTTTTCGTGTATGTCAGTAGACCTTGGTAAAGAATCTGGGTGTCTGGAGGGATTGTCATTTTTAAGTCACATTCTGGTCACATTGATGCTGTCACAAATAAGGCCATGAGAATTTTGGACTTGTTTGGTGAATAGAAGAAAATACTTCAACATTTCAACTTTGTTTAAAATATTAAATGGTTTCATTGATTCTCCAGAACTCCTTGCGAAGGTTGGTATTCATGTAAATGCGATTGAAGTTAGGGAAAGGGATATTTTTTAGTGTTAGTTTTCATAAGACGGATTATGGTATGAATTCACCATTGACTAGAATGTGTGAAACTAAGGACCAATTTATCAGTGGAAAGTTATTTAGTTAAACTGTCAGTTAATAATTAACTGACAGCTGAACCAAATAACCGTCCAACTGATAAACCGACCCTAAAAGCCATCAAGAACTGAAAAATACTTCAATCAAGAGCAGGAAATAGTTCAGTAATTAATTAATTATCCTGACTAAACTAAATAACCGTCCAACTGATAAACCGACCCTAAAGCCATCAAGAACTCAAAAATACTTCAATCAAGAGCCGGTAATAGTTCAGTAATTAATTAATTATCCTGATTTTTTTCGCTCAAGAGTTTAGGGCTTCATCAGGGCTAAAATATATATTAGGAACATCAAAAAAGTGCTAACAAAAAAATGAAGTTTACATACCTTCTTTCTTGTTTGTATGAGGAACTACCCTAATGTTAGCTTGTGTTTGTAAGATTTTTGATAACTAAGTGCTTAAGCCCGAAATCAATGGAATTTTGAAAAACTTAACATTAGAAAATTGAACCTGATTAGGAGATGGAACACTATTAACATTATTACACAAAATAGTAATCACTAAAGATAGAGGATAATGATTTTGTTTACACAATACCCTTATTTGTTCAAAATTTGCATCCATACACTGAGGGTCAGACAGTTGTTTTGCTCTATGTTTAAGTGATTTAATAATAACCACCTTTTTTAATAATCCTTCCTGATGCTGTTAGTTTCTGATACCAATCAGTAGTAAGGTTGTTATCAAAATCCCTGATGACAACTATATGAAGGAAGGGTAGCCTTAACCCTTTCTCTTTTTCAAGGGTAAATTGGAGATTCTGATGGAATTCATTGAATACATTTAAGATGGTCGGGTATGGCTGTGATAATATCATCTTCATATAAATACAAGAAGGGAAGTTGAAAAGGTAATTTGGAAATGACAGTTATGAGGAGCTCATTCATGTTAGCCAAAATAGGTGAAGTCAGTTTACCCATTCCCGTACCAAAAATCTGTTTGAAAAATTTGTTGTTATAGGAGAAATAACTTGACTCGAAGATGAAGGCGATCAATTCAACAAAAACCACAAGTTCCATAGCAGTGAATGCCTCAATATTTTCCCAATATGTCTCTATCAGATTTAGTACTAAATCTTTGGGAATATTTGTGAACAATTTATTCAATTTCAATTTATTCAATTATAAGCTGTACAATTAAATTGTAATTTCAACAATAATAATAAATTGGCACCTAGATGTCTATGCATCTGTGTGTGCCAAAAACTATAAGTAATTAAATTTATTATTAAAGCTATAGCTAGGAGAATTAAATAACAAAAAAGAAAATAATAACAATAAATATTTCAATAAATAATTCAAATATATCAAAGTACCTACAATATGCCAATTTCTTAAATTAAAATAAGAACTGAATAATTTCAGACAAACTCCAACACAGTACGCCACTTCCATGAAGTATATGTCTTTCGTGTTTAGAAAAACTTTCGTTTATTTTTTATTATGTAAGTCAATGCCTGTTTATTGAATTTTTTTAAAGGATAGTTCTTGTTCCTCATTTCCAGTGGCAACAAGTTATGGAATTTTGGTGCCAAAAACGTAGAAGAATGTTTACTTAAGTCACGATTTATTTTAGGTAATATTAGTTGTTGATTTATATTGTTCCTGGTTTCATATCTATGGTTCGTTATAGAATGTTTGTAATGGTATTTCTGGATGTGGGAACAGCAAGTCGATATGAAGATGGTTTTTATGTCTATAATTTCCTCATTATAAAGTTGTACTGTTGAAAAAAATCTTGGTTTTTTAAAAATTATTTTTACTATTGAATTTTGTGCAGTCTTTAAATTCTTGATGTTACTCTCATATGCGCCTCCCCACACCAGAATCCCATATTTCAACAGCGGCTCAATTAAAGCTTTATAAATTAAAATTAATAATTTTCTGGTGAGGAGTTCTCTCAACATATAAAATTTATGTAATAGTGCCCTTATCTTTTTTGTTAAATATAAAATATGATGGTCCCATCTTAAATTTTTGTCAATGTGTACACCCAAATATCTAAAATTGGACACTTCTTCAATTGAGTCTGGTATATTATTTATGGTAATTTGTTGATAGTTTGGTCTGTTGCTATCATTTATAGAGAATGCAATGTATTTTGATTTTTTACCATTCAATGTTAGTTTAAAGCTATCTAGAAAATCTTTAACCGATGATAGGCCCTGCTGAAATTTCTCCCTTACTTCTTGCCAAGTATCCCCAACAAATATGATAGCAGTATCATCTGCATAGGATATTATCTTGCCAGGTAAATTTAAGTCGTTTATAGAATTTATATACACATTGAACATCAAAGGACCCAAAACAGTTCCCTGTGGTATTCCCATTTTGACTGTATCTGGCTCACTAATACAATCTCCTATTTTAGTAAACTGTGTTCTATGTGATAAATAGTTTTCTAATAGTTGTAGTGTAGTTCCCCTTATTCCATATCTTTCTAGCACTTTTAGTAAAATCTTGTGTGATACCGTGTCGAATGCCTTTGATAAGTCAAGGAATACCACAAGGCATTTCTTTCTGTCGTCCAGATTTTTGGTGATATCGCGTACCAGCTCATACATTGCATCCACTGTACTAACCCCAGGAGTAAAACCAAATTGATTTTTTGATAAAATCTTGTTTTGTTCAAAATAAGAACCTAATCTTTCTTTGAGACATTTCTCAAAAATCTTTCCAAGGTTTGAAATGACACTTATTGGTCTATAGTTTTCCATATGTTGCTTATTGCCAGACTTAAAAATGGGGCTAACTATTGATGTTTTAAATTGACTTGGCACTATGCCAGTTTGAAATATAAGATTTATAATGTATTCAAGTGGTTTCAGGATGTACACATGGAGGGCTTTAATTATTATTGATGTTATTCCGTCCTTGCCAGGCGAGCAATTATTTTTCAGCGAATGTATGTGTTTAATTAAGTCATTTTGTGTTACAGGTTTTAAATACATAGAGTTTGGGGATGGATTTGTTAGTTTGAATGCAGTTGATGGTGTTTTTATTATATCAGCCATTCTTGAGCCTATGTTTATGAAATAGTTATTGAAATTATCAGCAATATCCTTATGGTTTGCAATTTGTTTACCATCTTCCAACTCGAGGCTGCTTATATCGGTCTTACTGTGGTTCCCGTTCCCATTTACAGCTTCATTCACAAGTTTATAAATTTTTTTAATATTTTTATTGTTTTCATATATTTTATTTTTGTAATAGTTGTTTTTTGTTTGAATGATTAGCTTGTTTAATTTGTTCCGATAGCTTTTATACTCTGTAAGGTTTTCTGGGGTAGGGTGTTTTTTTAAGTTTTGTTTTAATTTATCTCTTGTTTTTATTGAGATGATAAGACCATTTGAGATCCATGGTTTTATTTTCTTAAATTTTGTGTTTATAATTTTTTCTTCATAAGATTTTTGTACTATATCAGAAATATTTTCCATTAGGTTTTCTAATGCGGTGTCTGGGTCGGGGTAATTTAGAGTTTCTTCCCAGTTTTTATTCTGTGCCAAATCAGTAAGTTTCTCATAATTTAGTTTTTTAACAATATGACTTTTTTTATTTATATTTTCACAATTACTATTATCGTTGAAAGAAAACTGTGTTAATACTGGCAAATGATCAGTTATATCATAGTCAATAATATATGGTTTTATCTTAATTAAGCTCTCCTTTATTTTTGTTTTAAGAAAAATATGGTCCAGGCACGTCTTTGACTCTGGTCTAGTAACATCTTCATATAGAGAAAAAAACCCATGTACGTTCAGTATTGAGATGTATTCATTAACCAAGTTTTCATTACTATTCAATATATTTAAATTTATATCTCCCATAAATAAGGATATGTGTGCTTTTTTTGTGTTTGTTAGATATGCATTTAGATCATATAAAAAGTCTACTGTGTTAGAGTTTGGAGATCGATAACAAATATTTAAGCTCATTGTAGTATTTTTAATGGTGCAAGTTATGTTAGTGATACTTATCTTACAGGTAATCAGCTTCTCCGTGTGAAACACTGGGCCTAGTGAACATTTAGTGTAAATAAGCACTCCATCAAATGTGTTAAAATTTGCCTGATCATAGTAGATATCAAATCCCGGTATGTTACACAGTGAAGTTGTCATCAAATTATGACATTCTGTTAGAATTATAATATCACAGCATTTTAAATTATATGATTCAAGAAATACAAGAAGCCTATCAAAATTTGTTCTTATGCCTCTAATGTTAAGTAACAAAATATTAAAATGGTTTTGACCTATGTTAGGAATAGCATTAGGTGTGATAGTAATTTTTTTACTATCAACAGGAATATCATTTAAAACCTCTATTTCCATGAATTAGTCTATCAGTCTTTTAATGTTTTTTTAGTACCCTACGTAATTAAGTAACAATAATAAAGCTACCTACTCAATTTTCAAGTCTTCCTCGCTCTGAATTTTGGTTGGATCTCCAGTCTGGAATTTTTTCAAATAGATCTTTCCATGTCGAGTGAATACTGAGTGGAACTTATGAAGTTTCCTAAAATCCATGGCCTTTTTGAAAAGTTTTTGATTCTGCAGTGTTAAATCATCATTTATAAAGATTTTGTTGTTGTTATTGTTATTTCCTTCTAATCCAGATGTTTCTATATTCAGGCCTTTCAACTCTTTCACTTTTTTAAAGAATGAAAATTTCTCTTCTTGCCTCTTGAGTTTAACTAACAATGGGGCATCCTCCCTTTTTCCCAACCGGTAGGCTTCGCACACTGAGTCACTTTCCAGCTGAACATTCATAGATCTTGCCATCTTATGTACAATTTCTGTCATTGTTGAATCTTGAGGTGACATCAAGAGAAACAAGAATGTATCCAGCTGGAATTGTACGAGTTCTAAGTTTTCCATAAACTTGAAGGAGTTATTCACCACATATTGAAACGTTGGAACCAAGTTATTCAAAATTTTGGCTACGAAACTGAAGATGTTGTAGGTGGGTGACATTATCACACAAGAGACAACAGGTCTTAGGGGTGTATTTGGCTTGTGGATCTTGGTTAGTTCATAGATTTTTGGTGATGAGTCACCCCTCTTCATTGGATACCGATAGGACACGAACTTCTCTTAATCGTAACTTATTATGCTATATTGATTATATTTTAAGAGATTTTATTCTTGGGATCTAGTATGTGATCTGCTCTAAGCATTTATAAAGATTCTGATTTTGATTTTTGACAATGTAAGTATACAGTTAGCAAGGGCATGTGGACATACTGAGAATAATGGCAAAGTAATGCACTATCTTCTCAACAAGTATTAAGTTATAATAGTTCTTATTTTGTCTGTGTATGTGAAGCAATTCTATTGCCATGAGAGCTAGAAAAGAATTGTATTTTTTTCGAATATTTATAGCAAAAATTGATTGTGTATAGGAACTACAAAACTAGTTAGGTATTCAGAGCTAGGGAAATTTGCCTTCTTTTAGTGATTGATAATTGCAGAATTATAGAAATATTGAATAAGCAGTTATTTAATAATATGGGAAGAATCTTATCTGGCCCAGGTAACTTGTTAATATCTAAATTGTTTAATTCTGCAGAAATTAAAATGGAATCTTGACATCATTGTAGGATGCTAAGGCTAATGTGTGTATTATTGCTATAAAATAATTAGCTATCGCATTTACAACATATTATAACTACTATACCTAATAAAAATGTTCAATTGGGTGCAAAACTTACCAGAAATAGATACTCTGAATATGCTGTTATGGAAGTGGGCCATTTTATCATAAGCTCGGTTATAAGTTTATGATGCTTTAGATAATTCTGTTTTAATTAAACAAAGAATGTACAAGATGTGCCCAATATGTCCAGGAAAAGAAATACAATTTCTAAAGTATATATCTAATTATAATATATAAGAAAAGTGGAAGACATGGATTTATACCTAATTTGAATGAGTTTTAAATAACCACTGCCATGATTTGAAGCAAAAAGATGTGGAAAAATGAACTTTTGGTGAATGTTAGCTATATGTTTATAAAATTAAGGGTTCTAAACGCAAGAGAATACTCTGAAGAATATTGAACTAATAGTTTGTAACAAAAACTTGTGCTTTAAGCTAGTTTTCTACCAATTTAAACTACTGCTAGCTGTTAGGGTTTGAATCAAGCCTTAATATGTATTTTGTAATGAGTGTATTATCACTGGAAACTAATTAGCCATCTCAACACAACAACAGGAAACAACACTGATAAATACTAATAAAAATGTTCTATTGTAAGACACATACTTAGAAGCATTTGGAAAACAGATCTACTCAACCACTTGATAACCCGCTTGTGACTAACTAAAACTAAAACCTACTACACACAACTCAAATAATTTTTTTTCCTGAAAATCAGATGAACAATAATCACGAAATTGATAAATCTACCGAGATACGCAAAGTGGGTCTGTAAAAATCCTATGCCTACTAAAACAAATAAGATACTGCTTATCTCTTGACGCATTTAATTACTTACTCGAAGTAGCTGCTCCGTAGGTAACGTTAACATTGTTGATGTCCTCCGAAAACCTTTTGTAGCCATCGTCGTCGGGAGAGCCCCTCGTCGCAGCCATGAGCCCCTTTTGAACTGTCAAAAACAGATGTTGATGTTGGGATTAGTCATAGAAATGGTCATGCCCCAATGAATGAGATCATCCAATTAATTTAGGTCATGTTTAATTTGCTTCTTAATAAACATTCGCATGTATTTTATTGGTAAATAAACAAATTGAAAACATTTCTGTTCAGAGGGGAATTAGATTTAATTAATTTAATTATTGTTTGATAAAGTTTACAACAAAGGTCAAATTTATGAGAATCGCAACATTTCATGAACAGTTTTGATTATTTTTATATACTCCGTTCCGTTTTTCTTTGCATCTGGTCCTCCTTGGAAAAGATGACGCACAACTGGAATAAGTTTACTGTGAACTGCTTCAAATGCTCTTTTTAAGTCTAGAAATACTGCCAACACAAATTCATCTTTATCTAAACTTTTTTTTCGACATTTTAGTAACTGATTAGAGTGTCGTCTCTGTTGAATGACCAATTCTAAGGAAATTGCAACAAAATTACAATTGTTTTCTTTATTTTTACTTATATAAATTATTTTATTAGTAAAATCAAATTCCTTGCATATCAGATATAGAAACTTAGGCTCTTGGCCTAGAAAATTCTACATATTATGCAATACATTTCTTGTTTTACTAGAATTTTAGAAAAGCTTGTTTTTAAATTTAAAATCAAAGGGTTTGATTTATTGGGTTCAAAATATTTTTGAAAATAATTACAATTCTCGCCACTTTTTCTTTGGAATTGTTTTACAAACATATCAAAACGAACTTTACAACTTTGCAATGAATGCGCCAAAATTTGATTGTAAGCTCCAATTTTTAAAAGAAGAAAATCTAATATGTATTAATGTTCCTAAAGTTCATTGGTTGTCTGGCAATGGGTATGAGAGGCCCGACGCGTCTCAAATTAATAATAATATTTTAATAGTTATTTACATTACAAGTGCGTTTATGAACATGATTACAATAACGAGTGTGAAAGATTAAAACGACGAGGTCGTAGACCGAGTCGTTCTAATCACACGAGTTTTGTAGTCATGTTTAAACGCACGTGTGATGTACAACTTTTTATCTACAAAGCGAAGAATAAGATTTTTTTTCAATCATTTTCGTTTATTAGTCGTTGTTATACCTTCATTTTACCTTTACAGGTTTACCTTTGACATTTGTCAAATCACCAAAAATAGTTGTGTTATGAATTCATAACCTTGTCCATAACACCACTAGTTGTGTTATGAATTCATAACCTAGTCCATAACACAACTAGTTGTGTTATGAGCCTCATGACATAACTCAAATACTGGAAAAATAGTTATGTAAAAACGTCATAACCAAACGCTTGTAGATAAAATGTATATATTTGACAAAAACATCATGAAAACTATCTAAAACAATATTTAAACTGAATATTATGCGTGAGGTCCGAAACCACTGGTGACGGTTTAGTGGAGAATGCAGTACTGCCAATCTGAATTTGGGAAATTACCTGATATGCTGGTCAAATTACACGTTTTTACACGCTTTCGTCTCACAATTACACGATTTATACACACGACCTTGGTACCTATTTAGTAACATCAAGAAGAAAGTATAATTTTTTTTTTGTTACTTATGATTTTGGGAAATGGGTCAAATTCAGTCAAATCTGAGGGTTAATCATCGCCCCTCAACCAAAAATAAAGATGTGGCAACGACAGAAAAGCGATCCAAAAGTAATCTAATTCCTAATTAGTCTACTTCCTGGAAAAGTGGTTACTTTTGGACCTCAGTTTTCTTGCAAGGATAATACACACTACTACTACAGGATAGAGCCTATTCTCATTAAGCCTGTGTACTTCAAATCTCAAGCCCCTCACTATGCCAAAGCATCAGTGAAGACGTAACTTGATGACGAATCTGGGGTGCCATATGGAGATTGGAATTATTATTGTGGCACTCCAAATGACGTAATAGAGTTATTCAGGCAACCTATTTCCAAAACAGCCGATGAGCATAAGTAGTGTGTATTATCCTTGAGTTTCCTGAAATCTTGGGTTTGAGCCTAGCCCAAGGTTCCTTAAGGTTGGATTTCGTTGCAACGTCCAGCGTTTACGGTCAGCCGCGACGTCCTGCCGTCGAGCACTTCTTCAATGCGTTATAACGACAATAGTGTTTTTGAAGCGGCTCGTCTTTTGGACGTAGCGGCCTGCCGATGACGGCTACGTCCCGACTGCTCAACAACAAGTCGAGACGTGAGCGCTAACGTCAAAGTTTCAATCAAATAATGACGAGAGCGTGAAAAATATAGTAAATGCTGAGTTTACTAGAAAAATGTTCAAAAAATGTTCTGATAGTGAGGACGAAGTGTTAATAGACCAAGTGCGTGAATAGACCTATCTATTTTTACCTGGTATGCGCACGCAACACGAGGCAATGCCTTTTTATTGGCTAACTAGTACAGGTGTGAGGTGATCGTTTTGCATGCTGAGCATCTCCTTGTCCTTGTTCATTGCCCGTGGTCTGACAAGAATAAACGTACAGTTGATATTCAATTTGACAAGTGTCATTCAAAAGTTGTTTGAAATTTTCATTGACAAATACGTTGCACAACACGCGGTCTTTCTCCTTCCCTTTTTACCCCGTGCAAATAAGGACGGATTGCTATACGTAAGTCTAACATAATTTGGTACGTTTGGCCTCGTCTTGCGCAATGAGCATTACTGTGTCTTTTTTTATCTAATGAAGTTTTCGTATTATTACCTCTTTGTCTGGTAAAATAGATAGGTCTATTCCCGTGTTTATACGACCATGAAAACAAAGAATTCCAAATGCGTGAAATCATTTAGAGTCAGATTGGGAAAGTTTTATTAAAGACGAGAAATTGGAATATTTACACTATTTGTAGACTGCTTCTTTATACCTTCATAGCTTTGTTCCAACACAGCAATAAACCGTACAATGTACCGTCACGATTCTGCGCAAAGCCAAAAATTTGTGCGTAGAACCCGAAATTCGTATAAAGAGTGGTTCCGAAACCGTTCATGGGATGGTTTTTGACGTGTTGGAACAAACCTCATGAATAAGAGTTAAAATAAATTCAAATTGATCTTTATTAAGTATTAAGTTGAAAAAAGCCAGGAAACTTCTCATTATCGGCTTCAAGAAGGTTTTTCATTAGAATTTTATAATATCCTGCTTGGTTTCTAGATGCGTTTAATTCGTCGGTTTTTTCTCGCATAGACAATAATAAACCTAGAATTTCATATTCTTTTCCATCTTCTGGCAAAAAAGAATGCTGTTGCCAGATCCATTTTTTAATCACTAATCACTCATTTTAAAATACTCAAACCACTGCTATACTTTCGATGTAGACGTTTTAAGCAAAGTATGTGACCGTAACGGCTGGCCGTCGCTGCCAGACGTTGCCGCGGACCGTAAACGTTGGACGTCGCAACGAAATCCAGCTTTATGGATATTTGCATTATGATGAGATATTGATTGATGATATTACCTATCTGTAATAATATTGAAAATGAACATTCCAAAATATTCTTTCATTTACTTCACAGTAAAATTTTTAAAACCCATTTTGCATTCTTGCGGTCCAAGGGAGGTCTGGCTGAAAAAAAATGCCAGAGCCGCTTTGTCTGAGACCATCCAACCCTGACCTTGGTAGCCACCAAATTTCCAAGGAGGACCAGATGCAAATAAAAATGGAACGGAATATATATGTCCTTGAGCCATGATCTATGAAGTCAGCTCCTCTATAGTTCAAATCGATATATTTAAGCAATTTCGACTGAAACTGGTTAAAATTGTACACCAAGTATAGGGAAAACACCAACCCAACACCGAACAGCACAATGATTAATGGCCGTTTGCACCGACCATTTTAAGGCAGGCTTAACGATAAGTTCACCTAAAAATGACATTTTTACATGTAAAAATGTCACTTTAAGGAGTACTTATCGTTAAGCCTTCCTTAAAATGGTCGGTGCAAACGGCCATAAGTAATATATCCTTCATATTTTTCTTTAGAGGCTTTTTTCTGAACTTAACTTAAGCCGTATGTTTTCAACATAGGTATTATTCTGAATGTGCTCCTACTAGGTATAAATAAATATTAGTTCGTATCAACAAATCTTATCTTTTTTATTTTTGTCAATTTCGCCACCATTACCAAACACCAAAACATAAGATATGAAGATAATTACGATATAAACAAAAATAATCTATTTTCAATTAATAAGGAGAACAGATTTACAATATTTAATTATAACTTACCCGCCTTTATTAGTGCTATATCCAAACCGCTCAGGTTTTTACCGGAATAGTCCTTAATAGTAGACAAATAGTTATTAAGTAAACGATCATTTAGAGGCATGTTTTTTATAGCTAGATATCAAAATAATTATATTAAGCTCAGTTTTCATGTTACCTACACATGATTATCACAAACACTTTATTAACAAAGATAGTTTATATTTAGCCGTTAAATAAATTTTGATTCGTCTCTAGTGTTAAAAAGCAAATACCAGAGAGATAATGCAACTGTTGATAACGCATGATCTTGGCGAAAGTTTAATTAACTTGTACCTAAGATAATTTCAATAAATAAAAAAAGTATACTGTTGTGCAATAACGATATAGATTGAATGCTTCAATAAAACAAATTTTCTAAAATTCCCCTTGATTTCTATTTACATTAAATAATCAAATTCAATTAAAATCTCGAGCGCGGTTTATTTGGTTGTTTTGCCAAAACATTTTTCGATTTTAGTTGAGCGTCTCTTTGACTCAAAGATTCGCGCCAGTCAGTTTCTAATCTTGTCCAGAGACCACCTATAAATAAATTAAAATATTTCAGTGTTATGATGAAGCAAACTCTATTAGCTACCTATTGCTGTAAGGTTTCTTCCAACATTTCTCGGATTTCTAGCTATTGTGTCATTAACAATCTTTCTATTTAAAATCATTGCCATTTCTTTTAATACGTTCTCTTCGTAAGCTCTTTGAATATCCTGATTGCTTCTGGCAGACAAATTATGCTGCCACAATAACTTTCCTTCGTTTTGCTTCTTGGATTTCCGTATAACAATCTAAACAGAAACAAAATATATTAAGTAATTTATAATCAATAATAAATTTTTATATACTTTTTTTGGTGGTGGGTTGCTCTCTGCACTTCCCTCGTCACTACCAAGAGACGTAGAAGAAACGGTTTCTTCCTCAGTTAACTCTTCAGTGGTACTTTCGTCCGAAGCCAAAGATTCCGAGTCGCCTGCGCTATTTCGATTACCAAACAAGCTCAACAATCCCATTCTAGGCCGAGGAGGGATAATTTCGAATCCGTCCCACCAAAAAGTTTCCTTGCAAACGAATTTTTCAGAATTTACGTTGGAGTCTGAAAATTGTTATTTTTTTAACGAGTGCGCAAAGTGATACTTTCCCGCACGTTGGTTAGCTAAAAGCGGGAAAGACGCTTTGCGCACAATATTTTTTCTGCTAGCATAAACAAAGTAGAAACGAAACCCTTTAAAAGTGCATAAACAATATACAAATGAAAAAAAAGCTATTTTGCGCACGCAAAGTATGTACTATGACGTCAGTTTAACCAGATTTTGGGTTGCCATGTTGGTTGATAGCTGAAATACGCCTTATCGGTTGCGGCTAACTTCACACAAATGTCAAACAACTGTTCATTGATTATATTACAATAATATTTTGATTTTTTTAAAAATAAATACTTATTGAATTTGTATTAATTTATTTCAAATTAGAAAGATCTAAGTATTATCTATAGATATAATAAAGTGTATTCTGTAGAATTATGGGGCCTCCGCCCATTGTGACAGGTCTGTCTCCAAACGAGGGCCCACCCGGGACTCGAATCAAGATAAGAGGAGAAAATTTGGGAAAATCTCCTCAGGATTTAGTGGGGCTCACGATTTGCGGTGTGGATTCTTTATTGACAGCGGAATGGAAATCGGAAAATAAAATTATCGCTATATCGGGACCCATTAAAGGAAAAGGTAAGGTAAAACTTTTTTCCGAGTGTTGGTTTTATCTCATTGTAAGCCGCACCAAAAGGCAAAGGCTACTCGGGCTAAAGAATTGTCTTGTCTGGTTTTAAATATTTTTCCAGGAACAGTTCCATGTTATACTAAGGGCCAAATTATGGACCAACTGGTAAGTGTCTGGTTGTTACCTAGCAGGTACTTTCTATTCTCTAGTGCATAGGAAGTACCTGCTAGGTAACAACCAGTCAGTCCAAAATTTGGTCCTTGGGGCCGGTTTTAGTCACCTTCTGATAAACTGTCAGGTATGCAATCTGGTGGATAAAAACGCAATCTGTAATCCCATTGGTCGGCTAGTTATCCGCCGACCAATAGAATTATAGAAGGATAAATTTATCTTGCAGACAGTTGTCAGCAAGTTTATCTAAAGATGAATAAGCCAGGCCTAAGTCTATATAGAAAAAATGAAAATTAACGCTTAGGGTTAAAGTCGTGTCCAATAACGACGTTTTGACTCCCAATACCCATACATCGAAGCTGCAACTTATCAGAGGGAATAACAGCAACTGATTGAGAAAAAGGAATATTTAGTACAGAGGAAATCAAAATCAGAACCAGAATTATCCTCGCCATCCAGGGTTTATTTTTCTGCTCCTGCCTTTTATATGTATGAGCATGGCACAAAATAAATGTGTTGAAAAGACTCAATATGGTTCATAGCACTATTTTGCCTATGTCGGTCCAACTTCTAGTAGTTGAGAATATGTTATTCTAGCGTGTAATAATAGGTGGTATCCAAAAGTTCACAAGTGCCAAGAGAGCAATTTATGTTATTAGTAATTATTTTTAACCCAAATGTGAGTGTAAGGGAAATCCTATGTATCTATCTCCAAGCATTTGCAGATAGTCTTCATGTGAAAACTAATTTCATCGATTCTGTGTTTAAATAGTCAAACTCAATGCGTTTTGCGACTTGGTAATATGGCGACCAAATCACGCAGCAATACTCAAAGTGACTTCCCACCAAAGAAAAGTAGAGAGACTTTAATACCTTCTGCTTGCCTTTCTGAAAACTTTGGCCAGGATATGATTTAGGTGTTTGTTAAATCTTAATTGGGAATCAAAACTTACTCTTAGATCGTTTATTAGGTCTACTCTGGGCAGTGAAGAAAAAGGTTGACTAGGTCGTTGATGAATACGAGGAACAGAATAGAACCCAAATGTGAACCATGCTAGAAGAGGTTCTGTAAAGCCGAATGATTCAAGTTTGCTTATGAGGATAATATTGTCAACTCTGTCAAAAACGTTCTTAAAATCGAAATAAACTGAGGCCACCGTCCACTGAATCCTCATATAGCTTCGAGTTGGTTTGTTAGTTGTTCTTGAACCATCATTAGTTCTTTTATATTTCTTACTCTATATTTTTTACACAATCTACATGTATTTATCAAGGGGCGGTTCACTCCTTGAAATTTGTAAATCGATTTAAAATCACCCCAAGATTTCTGTTGATTAATGAGATCAAATAAGTGATTTACTTAGATTTATTATTTTCAACTGATTTATGGAGATAACTGCTTTAGTAAAATTTCAGCTGATTTATAATGATTTTAGGTGATGAAAACTATATAGTTTTTACCTGTCACACCTATGCGTAGGTAACAGGTAAAAACCACATAGCATTTTTCCATTGATGTTTCCTAACTTTGACAAGTCCCCATTTCGACAAGGTAAATAGTAGCAACTTAAAACTTCGGGGATATAATCTTATTGAAAATAGCTATCAAATGACGTATCACTCGACCCCCCTTTTCATTTGAAATTTTGGCGGTACTTGTCACCCTCACTTAGGGGTTGACAGGTAGGGGGTGAAAATGCCAATAAAATATGTCCTCAAAAAAACAAAAATTGACGTGTTTGAGCGATTTTTAATTAATCACCTAACACCTGAGAAAATCTGGGTGGGAAGTTTTTCGTGCTCCACCCTGTATATGACCGGTGAGGCGGTATCGGCTGGCAAATATTGGAATTTGACATTCAAAAACAGGATAACTAGGGCAGATTTTGACGAAGCAAGTATCGATTCCTAATAAGTCATCGATCAAGGAAAATCGAAAAATGTCAACCATTTTGACATCTGTCAAAACCCTGCAAAGCGGCAGCACTCATATTTTTTAGTTTCAAATATTTCATGATGTGTCATTTGACAGTTTCAACCTATGTAAAATCAGAGTTCAAAAATTGAAAAAAAAAATACAGAACTATCAAAATCTGTCCTCGAATCTGTCATTTGTTTTAGTAAAAAAAAAGATTCCAATTTGGCTCTTTTTCGTTTGAAGGTAGTTCATTGGTGCCAAACATTGAACAAAGCTCATAGACATCAAATTTTGACAGCTGTCAGAATCTGACATTAGCTTTAATTAAAAAAAAAAAACTCTAGTTCTGTTCCAATTATTTAAGTTATGCTTATTTATTATGAAGCATAAAAAAAATTTATACACAGGTTACCGATTTTGACAGCTGTCAAAATTTGATGTTTTATTACCAATAAACTAACTTAAAATAAAAAACAACCAAAGATGAATGAATAATCAACTCAGAATTTACATAAGCTTGAAAACTGAAAAATATCAGTGCTGTCGTTTGGCAGGGTTTTGACAGATTTCAAAATGGTTGACATTTTTCAATTTACTGCTATATCAAAATCTGCCCTAGTTATACCCTGCTTTTAAATATTAAATTCCAATATTTGACAGCCGATACCGCCTCACCCTGTCATATAAACAAGGTTGCGCCCATGGTAAAAATGTTGCTTACGGCATTTCTAATAACTTATTCAAATTTCATCCAAATATCACTGGTAACCAATTTCCGTTTAAATGTTGCGGGGTCCTTTAACGATTTTTAAATGGATTTACATTGATCTTCAGGTGATTTATCTTGATTCTTGGAGATTTCTCTTGATTATCAAAGATTTATCCTGAATTAACTAGATAATTTGTGATTTAAAAAGATTTTTACTGATTTTATCTGATTTAAGAGGAACTGGGCTGATTTATATTGATTTATCCAAAATTTCAATTGATTTATGCCAGGTATGTATACCGATGTCGAAGAGTTATCTGTTATCTCCCCTCCGTATGTATATAACTTTTCTATATTTGAATTCATATTTGGATTTTTAAAATTTTTCAAAAATCATGACTGCAATTTTATCATAGATAGAAACCTGAAATTTTCAGTAGATCTTATCCCAGTAGAGGTCCATACATCTTGAAAATTGCAGCTCCTTTGGATTTGAAGGTGGCGAGATAAAATCCTGTTGAAATTTGAAATTTCAACGTTTCTGAAAAAAATTTAGGTACAAACCCAGAAACTTTGAAAAATCCACTCCAATTGTAGGTATCATAAATAGAAAGCTGAAATTTGCAGTAGAGGTCTACAAACTACTAGACTCTAGCATTAAATAGGTAACATCAATTAAAAATATGTACGTTTATGTATCATATACATAATACCTGCTACCAGTAAAGTTAGGACTTCCATCATTATTGAAAATCAGTTGCTGAAGCATTATAAGGCAGATATATAAGGAATGAATAACAATACCTTATTGTGGAAAAAAAAATTCAACTAAGACTAGACATATTGTGACAACAAAACTTCTTAACCGGCTTTTCAACACTCTTATCAAGCGTATGTGAGTCACTGGTTGAAAATCTGAAAAATTATTCCAATAATGAAAATCGGAATTACATTTACCAAGTTCAAGAATGAAGGAAATTCATGAAAGAAATGGCCACCAGGGTTCACCCAAATCTCAAATATTGTTTTTTTTATGTTTAAATTTTCAAATAATCTCACACATTACATATAATCCAAGACATTGAAAAACTTTATTTACAGGTGATATAATTGTTACCACTAGATCCGGAGGGGTAGGATCTTGTAATGTAACGTTTAAAGGATATCACATTGCCACCATTGGGCCTATGAAAGAAAGTGCTGTATGGGTACGTATAAATAAATACATAAATAAATACATGTATTACCTATACAATTAAAATTCCTATTAAAACGTTAATATAGGTGGAAGAAACTGAATTGTTTACATGGGGAAGGCACTCCTTATCCCCAAGTAGCTATCAACAAGAAGATCCTTTAGGGCTATCGGTTGAGGACGCTGAGAAAAAAATTCCAGAAGATGACTTGTTGCAATTTTACCCTACCAGAAATGGAGACATAACCAGCAACGATTTTTCAGCTGGATGGTTCCTTTTGGAAAATCATCAAACTACTAGCTTTAATGATTTACATGCTGGTATGTATTATTGCTTCAGAAGTTTGAAGGACAATATAACATATTTATGAAAACTTTACGTTTGGAGCGCCAAAACAATATGGATAAAGACAAAAGCTCACATAATTTTTCCTAAGGTCTTGTCCACTTACGTCGCAAAGTCCAAGGCCAAAAAGAAGGTCAATTATCCTTCCTCAAAGCGAACATAGGAGCTGTCATGGATCAAATTGATACTTTAGTGAATCTAAAAGACCGCTACGAAGCTGATTTGCCAAAGTTGGGCCACGAACCGACTTTAAAACTGGAAAAGGCTATTAAAGAATCTGAGCACGAAGCTAGAAAGTTATTTGATGAAGTCTTGAATAGGAAAGATCGAGCAGAGAAAACTAGGAATGCTTTAAATGTGCTAACAAGGTAGGATTTAGTTATTGATTTTTTTGCATGTCATCTTTATTTCATTTTTTTGTAGATTTCGTTTCCTCTTTTGTCTGCCTTGCGTCATTGATAGGAACATTAAAAAAGGAGACTACGACATTGTAATCAACGATTATATTAGAGTAAAAAATTTATTTCACAAAACTGACATTCCAATTTTTAAAGCAGCTTTAAATGAAATAGAAAAACGCATAACAGATTTGCAAACAAAATTACATCAAGACCTACAAAATATGCCCATTACCGTTGAACAACAAAAGAGACTTATAAGGTCAGATAATAACCATAATAAAATATAATATTAAACTCATATATTTTTTAGGTATCTTGTAAACTTGGAGTCTCCCTTTGATGCTGCTTGGGATGCAATTAAAGCCCGTTCAGAATACATAAGCAAAAAATTCGGCCTCATCCACAACTACCATAAATCTTTAGAAAAACCAGACTCGAAATCAAAAAGCGGAAGCGCTTCCAAATACTCCAAATACAACAAATCGCCAAACACAGAAATCACCATAATTCCAGCTTGTGTAAACTTTACTGATGAAATTTGCCTGAGCATTACAGAAACGTTTCCAGATTTATGGAAAATTGGCCAGTCATATTTTTCAGGTGAATTGCAAGTTAAAATTGAAGCTGGTAGACAAACTGAATACAAACATATGGTTATGAACGTGATTGAAACTTATTGCAAATATGTCAGAGGAAGTCTTATACCAAACACTTTGGATAAAACCGAAAGAGCTCAATACGGAACTCTTACTTTACCAGAACGCGATGAAATGGCCCTTTATTTGCCAGAACTTTTACATTCAGTTAGATCAGCGTATTCTACCTTCATAAAATTAGATTTGCCCAGTGAAGCCTTGGACCTTGTCAATTTAGTATTGTTGGACTTAAGAATCCATTGCATGAGCATTATGTTCCAACAAACCACTGAACAAATAAAGCAATTAACAGAAAATTGGAAAATTAACTATACAGGAAAATTCACTGGAGTCACAGAGTTGCCATTGAAGTTTTTAAATTTGATTGAAGATATGATGAAAGCTGTTAAAGAATCTGTTCTGTCTATTGAGCAAAGGGAAATCAGTTTATTGGAAAATCAAATGGCTCAAAAAGAGATGGAGAAGCAAATGAACAATATGTTGATAGCGTTTCATAATGTCTTAAATAATCTTTCTTCAAGTGAAGATTATGACGAATGTGAAAATGGAACCCCAGTGGTGTCCCAATTAATTGGCACGCCAGTAAGCTCACACAAAACAAGCAGTAAAAGTAACATTCCCATATGGGAACACAGACTTTTGATCATTTTGTCAAATTGCTTATTTACTAAAATCACTGTTTTGGATATGTTGGTAACTAAATTCAAAGAAAATGGGTTCCCGCCATTGCAAACTTCTCTTTCTTCAGCCAAAATTAAGTTGGAACAACTAGAAAAATCCATTTTGGATAAATATTTAGAGCAAAAAAGCGATCCATTGGTTGGAACAATTGAACCTTCTATGTACTTGGGGCGATTCGATTGGCACTTGTCAATTCCTCCAAATGACATTCGGCCTTATGTAAAAGAATGCATCAACAACTTAATAAACGTCCATTCAGAAATCATTCACATTTCTCCTACCCTTCTAAATGCAGTTTTGCCTCAAGTAGTTGAAACCGTAGCAGAAGAACTTTACAGATTAATGTCGTGCGCTCAAAGATTTTCTAGAGAAGGAGCTGTACAAGCTAGAGCAGATATCATTGCACTTCAAGAGTTTTTAGAAGGTTATAGTACTGAAAAGGCACAACATTATTTCAAGGAAGCGATTGAAGTAGTACCGCCACTAGATAGGACAGATGAAATAATTGTAGAAGATATTTTGAGGCAATGTAGAGCTAGGATGAAGATACAAGTTATGTGTTTGAGGAAGGCTTAAGTAGAAAGTTGGCTGAGGAATTTTGGTGCTACAATCTTATTCTTAAATTGTTATTATTGAATTGTATACTAATGATAAAGTTGCTAGATAATAAATTAAATTGAATTAATAAATTATAAAATCTTTCAAAGTTATTTGAATATTTATTTGGAAATTATAGGCACAAGTGAAGTGAATCATCATCAGTAGTTACATCCATACTTGAATAATATGCTTGTCCTGTCTGGTCCCTAAATTACCGATTGTATGTGAATATGCTAGAAAGGGTTCAGATAGGTTTTCTTAAACATATAGGCTATAGGTTAAGAATCCCTGTTGAAAATATTAATTTCGATGAATTATCTGTGTTATTACACCTTCCTACATTAGAAATCCGCAAGAAAAATCTTGGCATATGCTTTTTGTATAAAATTGTAAATAATTTAATTGATTGTCCTCTTTTGTTAGATTATATAAATATTCATGTACCTGCAATAAATACACAACAGAATGAAATATTCAATATATTATATCACAGGATAAATTATGGCTATTTTAGTCCTATATCAAGAATAGAAAATACAACAGGGCGTTTAGTAGCAGATGTAATTTTAGGTAGTAAATTTATTGTTCAATTATCGGGAAATTTAAGATATTATTTAATTATTGTTCAGAAATTTATATTGTTCTTAATGATACTGGCTGGTCCATTAATAAAGAATTTATTTATCATTGGGTGAAAAGGGGCAGAAGATACTGGTTCTTGTGATATGAGCAGTAGGTACCTCAGAAAAAAAACATATTCAGCAAAAAATCCTAATTAATCTGCTAAATTTGCTGGAAACAAGATTAAGAACAAAGATCTACGATTCAGAAAACCAACGCCTTACAGAATCCTCCAGAAATTTCTTAAGTAGAGTGTGTCATCAGAAAACTCAGTCAGTCAGCATGGTAAATATGTTAGGTAATCATTTTCAGATGCCAATGACTAATCTTCCACTACATAAATATTAAAAAATATACGTATGAATAATCACTTTTATTGTGTAATTCTAGGTACATTGAATAGTGACAAAAATACACATCTATATAAATTATAAATCTAAATATAATTTTATGTTTCCAAAATTCAATTTTACATAAAAACTGTACAAACTCCTTATTAAGTAATTTGTAACAAAAAAATTATCATGATTTTCTCATAGTCAACATAGTGTTAATTTCCCAAACGATTCTTCTCAAATGATCAATTACTTCTTTAAGTTGTTTGTTCTTCAAAATTACTTGTTCCATTACTTCTTTGCTTTCTTCGCAAGCTAATCTATACGCTTCAGAATTCTTTTTTTCTTCGTGCTTTGGATCTAACTCATCTTTAAAAGGTATAAGACTTTCAATATGAGTATATTCCATCCCTTGAATCTGGCAGTTTTCATTACATTTTTCATATATTAACCTCAGTCTTTTAAAAAGTACTCTGATAGTTCTTAGTAGTTCTTGCACTTTGGCCTTTTTCTCATTACTGGCATTAGCCGACTGAGCCGTACCAGCAGGAGGCTGTATGGCTTTCAAAGTCTGAAAAACTTCCTGAGTACGACTAACAATATCTTGAACAGTTTCCTGGCCTAAACGACACAAAGAAGCAGTGTTAAATTCCTTGGATTGCTGCTGTTGCTGGGGAGTATGGCTTTGAGGCGGAGTCGGAGTTACTCCGGGTGTTTGAGAACCAGGGTGCATTTGATGATTGAGGTTTGGATTGAACTCGTTCATTGGCGTATTGATAGGACTCATTGCTCCACCCATTGGGTTAGCCATTTGGCTGATCATAGGATTGCCTAATTGAGGAATTTGCCCGCCCATTTGATTGGGCATTGATGTTTGCATAGGTCCAGCACCTAAGCCTGTTTGCATGGGACCACCCATTTGCGAATTGATGGGGCTAATAGCGCCACTTAAGGGGTTGTTTAGTTGGGACATCATTGGATTTCCTAGCTGAGACATTTGACCGCCTATTTGATTGGGCATTCCAGATTGCATACCAGGACCATCCATGGGGCTTTGCATCGCATTTGGGCCAAAGGAGGTTCTTAGGCCGCTCTGATTTGGATTGTTCATGTTTTGCATGAAATGGTGCGATGGAGCACTCATTTTTTAGTTGGTGTCGGCACTTACTAAGTATTAATATAGGAAAAGTTGTTACAAATACCGAAAATATCCAGGAAAAACCAAGAGGCGAAATTCAAGACATGAAAATTTAAGCACAAACAAACCTAAAAACTAAACATTTTCAGAACAGCTGTTTACTTCTTTGACATTACAGTTATTCAGGTTTCAGTGAAGTGAAGTTAGTTGCACGTTCCAAATGGCTTTTGCTACATACTCAGTGGCGTACATTATTTTATTCACTGTAGCTCAACCAAAGGCGAACGTTCACGTTCTGGAATCGGACGAATCGGCGGCGGGTCTGCGGGTGACGTCACCAGTATCAGCAGCTGAATCCGATACTGGTGACGTCCGTGCAGACCTCGATAGATTTTTTGCGATTCAAAGCTGTGGTAGTGAGTTAATTTTTCCGTCAATTGCAAATATAGAAAAGCTAACTTTTAAGTATAGTATGTTACTCGGATAACGATAAAAGTTGAGGTTTGCGGCTGACGTCACAAATAGTGAGGAGCGACATGGGGAGTGGTCGCATAGACACACTTTCAGTTCAGTTCAATATATAAGCAGTCCCAGGTGTTTAGTGTTCTTGGTTCAAGCCATAGGGCGGTAAAGGCACTTTCCGCACGAGTTACATTATTACGCCATGCGTCCATGAGCATAAAATGATTAGCAACAAGCGCATGAATATCGGCTTTGGCCAATGAGAGGGCGTTTTCAGTCGCGTGATTTTTGTTTAAACTTTCTATTTTTATTTATTAATTTATTCAATAATCTGAAAATTGTGATATATAGCTACCTATAAAATAGAGCAATATGTGCAATTTTTCCATAAGTAACTTTTCCAGATAATAAATATACCTTATATCGGTGTGGTTATACCTATTATCCATTCACAATCCCATGTCCACAGGTAGGTACAGGTAAAATCACCTTTCAATGCTATTTGATAGGGGAAGGTGATAAATTTACCTGCACCTGTGGACATCGGATTGTGAATAGGTATACGCGATTTTTCTAAAACTACTACAATATGTATTTAATAATATTAATTATTACTGTTAAATTATTTTAATCAAAATTTTTAACAGCACTTAATATACGTGTTTAAAATTTTCAAGTGAACAAACGGACTGACTACACTCAACCAAGAGATGACTGGATTTTTACTGGCTTCCAAAAAAGGCTTCATTATCTCGTCAGTTTTGCAAGGATGCAATGTTAAAAACGGTCTATGTAATACAGGATGATCCATTTGAGTTAGAGTATCGTACATATTTGAATCTTTAAGGTTTTCATTGATGTTCCAGTATTCTTCCATTGTAAGCAATACTCCATCGGGTCTCCAAACGTTGAAGCACAATATCGGCACCCCGTAGCTTAAGTGGTAAGCAATATGGTATTCAAAGGCAAGTATGTTCCCTTTTACCATAGTTGTAAATCTTTTTGTTATATATTTTCCATTATCCACGGAATCATTAGCATGCAATTGCCATCCATCGAAAATATTATTCGAAGTAGCCACAATTTCCTCAAGACACTTCACAAATAGATCGTAAGAAAGACCGCAGTCCTGCATGGTAATTTTGCGAAAATAAATTTTAGAAAATATTACCTCTAGCAACTAGACGGGTGAGCCTTTCGGGAAAAAGAAGTTGAGGCGGCTCTTCTTCTATCAAATGTCTGTAACTTTCCAACATTGTATAGATAGCCGATTGTCTGACATCGTCCAAAGTTACCGAGTGATGTCTGAATTGACAGGTTGAATAATTTTCCAGCAACTGGAATCTGAAATCAAAGAATTATTTATACAGGGTTGATGTTATGTATATTTCATCAGGCACTTGAGAGAAATGTATATTATGTACTTTCAATGGTGGAATTTTGGGAATGCCCGATTCAATGCCCAATGGTGGTATTTGCAATGTTGCCAAGTTTACCGTTTCTAAGATGACATATGTGACTTAATTTTTTTAAATGAACGCCTCTCTATATTTTTATTTTATTGATTTAGCGTCCCAATATTACCAGAACCTCTATATCCCAAACCTCCTTTTGGACTCGTATTACAGGACAGGCTTTGAAAAAATGTGATAACTAGTATTTAAGATTTATAAGGGGGCTGCTAGGCCTGATAGGTACTATTGTAAATTTTTCCAAAGCCTGTTCTGAAATACAAGACCGCTACTAAATGGCCATTTGCACCGACCGTTTTAAGGCAGGCTTAACGTTAAGTTCACCTTAAAATTACATTTTTACATGTAAAAATGTCACTTTGAGGTGAACTTATCATTAAGTCTTCCTTAAAATGGTCGATGCAAACGGCCATAAGTCTGTTTTTTTTTTAAAGATAATTCCCCAAGTCAAAAATTTAGTAACTTTGTTGGCAACAAAAGCCTTTTCTACATAAAAAATTTGAAAGCATTGACAATTTTATATTGTATTGCCAACATATTGTCATTTTGACTTTTATCTTTAAAAAAAAAAACAGATTTTATACATTTCAACAGAAAAGCTGTGTCATATTTCAAAAACTAAAGGCGTTTTCTCGCGTCCCCTTTTTTGAAACTGGTGCAAAACTGTTTTGAAACAGTACATTCTCGCGATAAACCCATGACGTCACGTCAAAATTGGTTCAAACCGTTTCGAAATACAATCCAATCCAAGTTTTCAAAGCATTTTCTCGTGCCGAGAAATTATGATGTCATGGTGATATTATTATTACTAGAACCAGTTTTGAAAAATGTTTTGAAACATTTGAGACGCGAGAAAACGCCTTAAGTCATATTTTCATAAACAATGAAGTTAAGGCCGATTTACACATATCCAGTAGCTGGCGCCAGTCACACTTGCTCATGACAGTCCAGTGCTGGTCGCCAGCTCTGAAGCAAATAGAGAGTGTGTGTATTGAAGACTGGCTTCATCTACTGGATATGTGTAAACCGATCTTTATGAATCTTTCAGAGTATGTCTCAAAATACAAATAGGCCTTCTAGCGGCAAAACGGGCAGATATCAAAATGCGGTTTGCACATGGTTTGCACCAATGAAGATTTCATGAAATTTCAGATTTCACCCTCACAGTAGGGGTTATTCTTTTTGTTACTTACCTATAGGCTCGTTCTCCGCAACAAGGATACCTGCCAATCGGAAGTGGAGCCTTTTGAGCATCTAAAGTGAAAAACTGAGGTGTATCTGGATGATATCTGCACCATCCAATTTGATTGGCGGGAAAATATCTATAAACGTTTAATTTAAGAAATGTTCATATAATCAAACTTTATTTTTTGTACCTTTTGCAAGTTGCACAATACAAAAAATGAGCATCACCCCAGAGCTTCCAATAAACTTTGCGCCATGTCTTGAGGGTTTTTTGAAGTTTCACAATATAATCGTTTATACTCCAGGTAGAATCTCTAGAAGTCGATAAGGAATTGAATAAATTGCTGCAAAACTCGTATTTGAAGAAGATTTACCTGATATGCAAGCTTACGATTGAACCATCAGGCTGGAGCCTCATACAAGAAGGCATGCAAGGGATTTTAGCAGCCACATTAGGTGTTATTAGTTGTTGACACTTATCACATCTAGTAAAATTATTCCAAATTCAATGTTTGATAAATGGAAATATAGCTGTGATATAGGTATAAATAAACATAAACAACTATCAGCTGTTGGGGTTTTCAGAGAACAAAAAAAAAATTATATGGTACGCCACTGACTCGACAAGGGATTTCACACCTGTTCATTGAATGTTGAGAAATAATTGTGCCTTTGGGGCAAGGATAATACACACCATCCTTGAAAACACACTACCAAAGATTGCTTTTTGGCTCAACATAATGCAAATCTTCATAAGTCTCCCCAGATGCGTCATCAAGTCACCCATTACCTGACAACCTATTAATTTTAACTATAGGAACATTGATCCCGACCATATTAGTGCAGCACCATTGCTGACGTCATTAAATAAGTCGGCTGTTTGAGTCAGTGGTCGTAGTTTAAAATTCAAATTTATGATGAAAAGTATTATTTAATTTTGATTAACATAATAGGCAAAGAGGAAGATAAAAACGAGATTAAGAATCGTTTTAGAATGTTGATTAATGTAGTAAAACCAAGTATGCATACAAGCAAAAGTCAGCGGAATCATAACCTGTTGTGCAAGCACCCTACATCAACACGAGAAACGACATGCTGCTACGTCATAACTGGTGCTTTGGCATGGTTAGGGGCTTGAGATTTGAACTACACAGGCCTTATGAGGAAAAGCTATCCTGTAGTAGTAGTGTGTATTATCCTTGCGTATGGAGAAGCCTTCAGCAGCAAGACCCATTTCCAGATTATTTGTGCTTCAACTATTTATTTCTTTCTACTCATCTAATATCTGATGGAATTAAATTTCTGCTGAATTACATCTACATTCGCATAAACCGGGTACAAGCTTTTTATTCGTCTTATTACTCTCTTCAGGATCGTACAAGTTGGATCTTCTGCGTTGAATATAAAAAATTAAATAATAAGCCTAGCCTGAATCGCAACCATTCCATCAAGGGCGACGTCACCATTATTAAAGTCTGTTTGTTTTTAAAGTTAATTCCCCAAGTCAAAAATTTACTATGTTGACAATACAAGCCTTTTCCACGTAAAAAAATTGGAAGCATTGACAATTTTACATTAGGCGATTTCGCCTCAGTTTGTTGCCCCAGTTTGGTCTGTCAAACAGGTACCATTCTGGAGGTTTGGTAGCTTTCTGCAAAACTTTCTGTTTCTTTTTCTCTCATGTCCAAATAAACATATCAAAGTCAAAATGTACCAAACAAAGTCTGGGACGAAATCGTATTGACAACAGATGTCATTTTGACTTTTATCTTTTAAAAAAAAAGACTTCTAGCTGCTAATGCAATGACGTCACTCGCAGACCCTGAATTGGCGAACGTTCGCCTAATTAGGATAGGCAAGTCTGTTAGTTTACGATTCTCGCGTTGGTCCGGTCTGTATGAGGGAAGCTATAACGTTTTTTTACCGAAAAATTCTGGCTAAAGAGCACCAATGTCCTCTAACACTTTCCGGCTCTAATTCAGCCAGGGACTGAATCAGTTTAGAAAACAATCTCGATTGAATTTTATCCTTCCTATCTTTGATGGATTCAACTTCTGTGTTCGTATACATCGCTGCAAGTCTGAAACAAAATATCAAGGAAATTAACAAAGGTTTTGTTAAACTTTATGCGAGTTCCATGTTCCATCAACTCTTGACCAATTACCTGGTCAAAACTGAATCATTTAAACAACTCAAATTAGTAGCGCTCCGCAAAATTTCATTCATATGCTCATGGCAAAATAATAAACAATCTTGCAGCAAAGGTTCCATCTGCAAAAAGGCGGCTGATACTAAAATCGGTATAACACACTGGGAATCCAGTTGAGGCCAATCGGCCTCGAATAAGGAATCTTTTTTCACCCATTGCATCAACCATTCGAAAATTCCAATGTCGCAATGAACGGATATGTCCATATCTTCCAATCTTTGACCTAAAAAGGAGAAAAATTAGAAATATCTTACTAACATTAGTAGACTCAGTTACCAAGAGTAACTTCAGCGAAATATCCCATTTTTTCAACAAGAAGCTTCTGATTGCAAACGAACGTTTTCTTCATGCCTTTTACCTCGTCACAAACATGGATTTCAACTTCAGAACTGAAAATTTCAATTTAGGAAAACAAAAATTATGCGTTTTTTCTTACTCTGTTAATGTTATGGAGTTCTTGCTTAATGTTGAAGCGTCCCCGCTAGATTTTCTGCGTATTAAACGATCATTGGATACAGTCGATACGGAAGAATGAGAACTGTTTTTGTCTAAAATTAAATTTAATAATTTCATTCACTTTTCTTAAATTTTGAGTCCTTACCAGGATTTTTAATAATGTTACATGAAGAACATTTTTTCATTGTGGGAGTGTTTTGCATCAAATAAGGAAGAACGGAATCTAGAAGACCCTCTGATAAAACTTCGCTGAGTTTTCGCTTTAAAATCTCAGGATCATGATAAGAGAGACTGTTGGTTGAATTTTTCCTCTTATGTATCAATGAATCTGAAATTTATATTGTTAACCATCAAAGGTTTTCGGACTAATTTCAAACCACAGTAGAAAGTTTTTCGTTTTAGAAAAAGTTTCAATTTCAGTTGGAAATAAGATGTTTGCATTTACATGAAAGATATATTTTACCTTTTTTTTCATCTCCACTACCTTTTTGCAATAAACTATCAGACGTTTGAATGGATAAACTTTTTCCTTTCATCGCAATATCTGTTTCTTTCGATTTAAGCCAAGTTATCGCTTCACTCATTCCACCTTCCATTAAAATTCCCTCGACCGAATTTTGTACCTAAATTTTCATTTAAAAACAAATTTATCAGATTTTTAAATATCCTACTTTACCTGATAAGCAGTTTTTAAAAAATCCAAAAATTGCGTTATAGTAATTTGGGCTCCTGTGTTCGAGTCTGGCTTTGACTTGTTCGCTATCTCAGCGGGTTTTATTGTCACCAGTTCTTTACCGATGTTTTCTGTTCTTTTGCCTTCCATGCTCAGAATTTGGTTTATTTATATTGAGATAATAATAATTTTTATTTTTACTTCCCAAAGACCAATATTGATATATTGATCAAACTTTCCTTCTCAGAGATTGTAGCTTATGAAAAATTTTAACAAAATAATATTGAATAAGTTTCATATTATTCTAAAACTAATTTATTATCCAAAAAATTTGTTAAATATCCGTCAATTTCAGTTTGACGGTTTTTTTTTTTCAAAAAAAAAATTCGTTTTATCAAAATTCCAAAATGGGAAGAAAAAATTCGTACGCCAATGAATAGTCTCAATTTTTATAGCGTTTTCATTATGCAGCTACGAACACTTTATGTGTACCAAAACAGATTAGGCAATCCAGAACACGTGACCAAAATATGGCCGCCTGTAGACACACAAAAGTATTATCCGGTAATCCTGAAACCTCTTGTGGTATTACATTAGAGAAGTAACCTCATTCCAGAAGTTAACTTTTAAGTTAACTGTCAAAATAGTTTCATAATACCCACCCTAAGGCCCACTTGTAAGTTCTTCCGACAAAATACCCACTATCTGCTTGCTGGTCTAAGATTCACGGTATTTGGTATTGTATTCATTATTCAACGTATTCTATTCTACCGACTGTTAAAAACTTGACACAGAAGTAATTTAATAATCCATTTTGTTCCTGGGACCATAATAGTACACTTGGCCAAACATAAAACTGGTACCTATACTAGGGTGACCATACGTACAGCATTTCGCTGTATTGTACAGCATTTGATTTTGTACAGCAAACGTACAGCGATTCGGATCCGATCATAATCAAGTTTTTCTTTAAAAAAAATTACGAAAAATTGTCAATCACTAACGACATTTCTACATTTGCGATTTACGTCATTTACGCCATCATTTCTCAGAGTAGGTATTCTTTTTAATGCCAACTACCTTTTTTATCTCTCTCTATTCCACGTTGCTAAGAAGAAGACACAGCATAATAGGTCTGTTTCTGCAGCAATCACAAACTAGTCAGCACGAATTTCATTGGTTGAAAATAGTCAGCAAGTCAGAAAACTAATTTCAACCCAAGGTTTCTAAAGTTAATAGGTTGTCTGGTAATGGTAAACAGATGAAGTCATCAGACAGGGGATTCTCATCCTCTAGTCGCAACTTATCTTCCCGACTCACTTGTAGAAAGGCAATGGGATAGTGGAGACGATAGGTTGCGACTAGAGGATGAGAATCCCCCATCAGGAAGATCTAATGGAGATTTGCATTATTTTCGGCATCCAGATGACGTCATAAAAGTTATCATCCAACCTACCTCTTTCAAACAACCTTGGTTTCAAACATTAAGGTTTTCAACCAATGAAATTCACTCTGACTGGTTTGTGATTTCTATGCGAACAGACCTATTATGTTATGTCTTTCTTTTTTTTTTTTTTGTTAAGTGGTACATGAGTGGTACTAAAACGGGCTATAAAGTCGACAAAATTTACATCTAGTGCTTTCTCCACTCACCTCTGTTCCAAAACTTTAAATGTGTACAGCATTCATACGAAGAAAATATGGTCACCCTAACCTATACGCATTTTCCTATTGTGTTGTATTGTGTGAATCGACCTTTTTTATCACCTCAAAGACAAAAAGAGTCAAATCATTAGTTGTATTCCTTTCACACCTAGGAGGAGCTCGGGAACAGCTCCGGGGCTTCACGCGCTTATTCCTATCAAAAAGTGTTTGTTGCACCACGCATCTGTTCCCTGCAAATCGGGGGCGACTGAACGCCGAAGCGAGTAGCTCGAGTGTTTCAAACTCTTGAAAGGAATACAACTAGTGTCATCTTTGAACCAAACATAACATAAAAACATGCTGCATTTACTTTTTGTTCAGCTTTGACATTGACAAAAACTGTCTGACCCAATGACTGACCTAAGTTTTCCAGAAGAGACTTTTTGTTGTTAAGCCTGACTCACACTAGGCAAATTTGAAAAATATTTATTGCCTGTACCAGTTTTATGTTTGGCCAAGTGTACCATCGTCACCAATAGTATCTGGGACACAAATAATTCATAATAATCTCCTGGACTAATTCTACTGTCATTCATTTCAATGCATTTAATTCAAAGTTTGACAAATATTTGACAATAAAATTCATATAATAGGACAAGAGCTAATGTGATGCTGTCCCAGTTACTTTTGGTGACGATGGTACATTATATACCTAGGTAGAGAAGTTGGTCATTATATACCGAGCGCTTTTATAAACCGAGGCGCGAAGCGCCGAGGTGTATAATGCGTAAGGTATATAATGACTTTCTCTACCGAGGGATATATAGAATTTTTTTTACTACTGCTAGTAGAAATTAAAAAATAGGTTTAAAACCTGGTGCTCAAATTATTTTCTCTTGTCGGAAGTGCTGCCCTCTATCAACAGCTTACGGTAATTTCCTATAATGTACATACAGGTACCTGCTTTTTTTAAAATTTTAAAAAGTTTGACACTGAAATTAAATCAATAGAAACCTGTTACGTTATGACAATTTCCTTGCGTCATGACGTCATTTTCATTATTGACCTAGGTATTTTTTCATTATTTTCATTATTAACCTAGGGAGAGAAATTCATCTTTTTCCCAGAAAAATTGATGGAATAATAGGTCTGTTTCTGCAGAAATCACAAACCAGTCAGAGTGAATTTCATTGGTTGAAACTAGTTTTCTGACTGTTTCTGACTGTTTTCAACCAATGAAATTTGCTCTGACTGGTTTGTGATTTCTGCAGAAACAGACCTAATGACTACTTCTCAGGTTAGTAGTAAAAAAACTACTTCACGCTTCACGCACTGGTGCATGACATTTTATGTCTTCTAAAAAGTGCGTAACGTAAGTACTTTGTGAAGTTTTGAGTACTTCAACTAGATTAATTGGGTTCGGTCCAGGCTTAGATCGGTCCAGGATGGTGTATATTAAACAATCACATACATCTACTTTGGTTTATTAAAAAATATATATCACAGTTTCTTACATCACAATTAGGTGCTTGCAATTTAGGCGGCGTTCCGTATCTTAACCAGAGTTACCGATTGGTATGGAGCGGTTCGTCTATGGTAACAGTCTGGTTCCTGAAAATACGGTTTATGTGTGGAACCGCGTTTTATAACCTAACCAGATTTCGGGAGTGGTTAGGTTACAGAACGGGTACCGGAAAAACCAAGAATCTTGGTTAACTTACGGAACGTCGCCTTAGGGCCGGTATTATAAAACTACTTTGAGAGTTAACTTGGAGTTGAATTACATGTAATTCCAGAAGTTAACTTCAAGTTAACTCTCAAAGTAGTTTTATAATACCCGCCCTTAGTCTTTTTACTTAGGTGGTCGGTAGCAGAAGAACGATACTGGAAAATTGGGCGAGCTACGTTGCCTCTTGGCTGCGCGCATGTCACAGAGGAATTGAGAATAATTAATAAATTGTATTGATGGTTGCGTTACCGCATACTTTACGCGCGGTAGTGGAAAAAAACAATTACTGCGCCTTCATTTACAGTCGGGAATGAGATGTTGTACCCATACTTATACAGGGTGGTTCATTTAAATTGAGACATTTCAATACGTCTAAGATGACGCGTTTTTGAAAAAAAAAGTTCAATAATGTCTTAAGTTTGATGGCCCACCCTGTATAACTATTGTATATCGTGTGCTAGAAACTTAAAATTACCAATTTTTCATTGAATATGAAAATTTTGCGACTAAATAAAAGAAAAAGTAGTCTGTTTTTTTTTTTAAGATAATTCCGCAAGTCAAAAATTTAGTAACTATGTTGGCCTTCTCTACATAAAAAATTTGAAAGCATCGACAATTTAACATTGTTTTGCCAACATAATGTCATTTTGACTTTTATCTTTAAAAAAAAAGAGACTTTAAAAATTCCGCTTTCCGCTTCTACCCTTTTGCGAACGAAAATAGAAAATTTCCCCAAAAAGGCAAAAAGGGAATAATTCCGTCAAGCTGGCAACACTGTGGCTGACTCGTTATCAAACGCAAGGATATCAACAAAGCATTTGATAGGTTGGATATAGGCCCCGCCCCTTTCCAATCAGATGCGAGTGATATCAGCAGGGCATTCAATTGGTTAGTTGAGCCCCGCCCCTTTCCGGGGTTTATGTATCGTCAAGGTATTTGATTGGTTGTTTCCTTTTCAACGCTTTTCAATGGCCCCGGCCCACCTACAGTGACTTCACCTTTTCAAATAGAAATTCGGTACCGCCGCCATATTCTTGCAAATTTTGAATATGAATATAGAAGTTAGCCCCGCCCCTGCCGCCATATTTTTGCACATTTTTTGATGTTTACTCAGGTTACAGGTATTATTATTAATATTATTATCTAAGTATATATTTATTTATTCTTTATTTTTCAATTTTTCCATCTCATATTTTGTCTATTCCCGGATCTTGAATTTTCTTTTTCGTTTTAATTTTTCTAATGGCCATTTCCACCAACTATTTTAGGGAAGCCCTAACAATAGGTAGCATCGATTAAAGGCGATTAACCGGTCGGTCATAGTTGACAGATAATCAATGGAGCAAACGTCATTTGTCAACCAATTGGTATTAAATGACGTTAAATGCATTGTTTATCTGTCAATATAACCGACTGGTTAATCGCCTTTAATCGACTTAGGTATGCCTTAAACTGACATTTCTCCATGTAAAAATGTCATTTTAGGGAATACATATCGTTAGGGCTCCCCTAAAATAGTTGAGGTTTATAATGCGTGATGCGTGAGGTATATAATGACTTTCTCCACCAAGAAATAGATTTTTTTTTTACTACTGCTGGGCCGGTTTCTCAATAGCGAGTCACCCCCGGGTTGGTTTTAACTCCAGGGTTAACGTGTCAAATTGCAATGTTTACCCTGGAGTTAGTTTAATCCGGAGGTGACCTGCTCCTGCTATTGAGAAACCGGCCCCTAGTGGAAAATAATAATTTGTAATCTGTGCTCTAATTATTTTTTTTGGACGCCCTCTTGAAAGTGGTGTTTTCTATCAACAGCTTATGATAACTTCCTATGTACCTACAGAAACCTGTATTTTTTTTAATTTGACGTATGAAATTGAAATTGAACCAATAAAAACATGACAATATCCTTCAATAAAATAATAATAAAAGACGAGGAACCAATCCGAGCCTTATCAGTTCCGTTGACACCTATTTAATCACTTTTCCCTACTTCACAAGGTAAATTTTCCAGGTAATAATGAGGATTTTATGAATAAACCAGAGGATTAAATCTCCACAGGTAAATTTTGCATGTAAATAGGGCTAAATTAAATTAAAATTCCATCTGTCCCCTATAGTTCAATGGGGTTGTGTGCCAATGACCGGCCATTTTGTATGTCGAAAGTCACGTGATTTGGAATGCCTAATTGCTAATATTTCCAGAGCTACAGATTTTACGAAAGATTTGGCAACGTAGACAAAAGTTGCTGTGTCAAAACAGTTGTCCTCTTTCCTGTCACTTGTCATCAATGTCATCGAAAGATGCTTTTTCGTAGTTGTTTCCGTTTGCCGTTTGTCTGAGATTGGTTCGACAACAAGTTTTTCTATTGTGTTCCTTGAAAAATCTTCTATTACTGAAAAAGTAAGGTCTTTGAGTTGCAAATCAACAACTAAACTTGCTCAAAAACAATTCCAGCTAATGTTTACGTAAACAGTAAACTAATCACGTATTTAAGCGGGAAAGACCCCCGTCACGTCCTAACCTCGAATAATGATTCTGTTTTGTAACAGTACTTTGAGGATTGTGTTTTATTTACATTAAACTCATTAAAAACAACAATTTGTGTTTGTTTTGTAGCTTAACCGAAACATGACCGATATAAGTGATTTGGATAGACAAATTGAACAGCTGAAAAGATGCGAAATCATCAAAGAATCAGAAGTCAAGGCTCTTTGTGCAAAGGCCAGGGAAATTCTTGTCGAAGAAAGCAATGTGCAAAGGGTGGATTCACCAGTTACAGTAAGAAGCACGACTTTAAAGTCATATTTTATTGAGTTTCATTTATTTGTAGTTTGGTGTGTGCTTAATAAAGAAAATTATTGTAAATGAAAACAAGCCTATTTTAAGATATGAAGCTGGTTGGTGTAATTTTATGTTTTGTGGAAAATAAAACAACTAAATGCTTTTATATGATAACTTCACCCACCTTGCAGCCTTCAATTTTATTACTAAAACCAATTAGGGGACTCCGAGGCGTTTTTCACCTAACAAAATTTGTACACCGACTAACAGTACTAACAAATATTTCCATGTAATAACAAGTTATTCCATGTATTAACAAAATATTTCCACATATTGCCAGGTATTTCCCTAGTATTATCACATATTACCAGGTATTGCCATGCTATTGACAGACAAAATTAAATATTTGTCTTGCCAGAATTCTAGGTATTGACATATCCACAGGTATTTACATGGTATTAATGGGTATCAACCAATGACATTAACATATAATGCCTAGATATCTACAAGTATTGACATATATTACCTACATAATTAACAAGTAGGTATTGCATAGTATTAACACTATTGACATAGTATTTACCTGGTATTGACATATATTAACCAGTGATTTGTACATCGATTAACAAGGTGAAAAACCCCTCAGGGGACTCACTAAATTGTACAAATTTCTTGATGATCACTAACAGCTCGGTGCATTATTCATAATTCAATCAATGCTTAAGTTAATCAGAAAGTATTGATACAAAAATCCTCAAATCAAATAATAAGATACATTTTATTCATAAACATTAATTAAAAACACTAATTGCTTTGTCATGATAATAATTTGCTACACTCTGTAATGTTTGTCTCCTTTGTGAAATATAGACTAAGTATATTGTGTTGTTTTCTGGAAGAACTTTTGGATGCTGTTAAATTAGACATTCAACTTTTGAGATGAATTTTTCTCTAAATGGTTTGGCAATTTTAAATAAAATGTACCCTACACTAATCTACATTATATGTAGTTAATATTACATATGTACTGTCGAGCTTGGTGTGGTGTGTGGGCATTTCCAAAAAAAGTGAAATAGTTTTCTGTTATATTTCTGTCAGTAGTGCAACTGTTATTAGATATGTATTTTCAAAAGCTCGGAACTTGATTTTTAAAGTCTCATTACTAGGAACTAGCAACCTCATCAAAATAAATCTTTCACTTTCTAACTTTGTTAAAATATTATTAATGTTATAATTTTTTTCTAGGTTTGCGGTGACATCCACGGTCAATTCTACGATTTGAAAGAACTATTCAAAGTCGGCGGAGATGTACCAGAAACCAACTACCTCTTCATGGGAGATTTCGTTGACAGAGGCTTCTATAGTGTGGAGACCTTTTTATTATTATTAGCCCTCAAAGTGCGATATCCAGACCGTATTACATTAATCAGAGGAAACCACGAGTCAAGACAGATCACGCAAGTATATGGGTTCTACGACGAATGCCTGAGAAAATATGGTTCCATAACTGTGTGGAGATATTGTACTGAAATTTTCGATTACTTGTCCTTGTCTGCTATTATCGATGGAAAAATATTTTGTGTTCACGGTGGGCTTTCGCCATCTATTCAGACTTTGGATCAAATTAGAGTTATAGATAGGAAACAAGAAGTACCTCATGACGGTCCTATGTGTGATCTCTTATGGAGCGACCCAGAAGGTAAGATTATTCAGTGTTGAGCTCAAAAAATCTCATCACATGTATTTGTATTTATTTATTTACAAACTCAACATCCACTTATAGAGTAGGAAGAAACTAAACTAAACTGAACCATGTAATTTTCTTTCATTAACCCTCTAATTATGTATCTGGTAAATTGTTTTCCTAAACTTTCCATAATCTAACGCAAAAATATCACACTTGTTTCTTACTTCATTATACAGCCTGCACATCGCTATAATGGGATAATTGTAATGGTAATTTGTTCTTACATAATTTATATAAAATGTTAGTAAGTCCCTTGTCCTATAGGATGGTATACAAAAATTTAGTTGACTTAAAAAACCTGGATCACAAACCAACCCATGCAGTAGTCTATACAGAAACATCAAAGCAGCAGCTTTTCTACGCATATCCAAAGATCCAATGTTGAGAGAGTCTATAACCTCTTGCTTAGCTATATGTAACTCATATATCCCGGTTTTCTTATAGTGAATATATCTGAAATTTATTCTGAACTTTTTTCTATTTTGTATTTATGATTACTATAGTATGGGTTCCATATAACTGAATAATACTCTAAAATGCTCCTTATATAGGATACATATAACATTTTGATACACTCTACATTGCGAAACAGCTTACAGCTCCGGACAACAAAACCATACATCTGCATTGCTTTATTTACGATATTGGACAAGTGTGTCCTAAAAGTCAACTGCATATCAAAAGTAACCCCAAGATCTCGCATTTCAGTAAGTTCGCTCAAGAGCTCATCATTAATTTCATATGGGAACCTCATGATATTTTTCTTTGTTGAAAAGTGTAGAACAAATAAGCATTTATTTAAATTAAAATGTAATTCATGTTCAAGTGTTCATTGATGTAACTTATTTGGATCAAATTGCAGCTGCTGACAATCACCCTCATCACAAACCCTTGAGTAAAGCTTCAGATCTTCCGCAAACATCAATATTTCTAAGTTTGTTATATCTTTAACTATGTTATTGATAAACAATAAGATCAGCAATGGACTAAGATTGGAGCCCTTTGGAACACCTGATTTAGCCAAATAATAGTCAGAACAGTATCTCCTTATAACAACTCTCTGATACCTTTCTTCTAAATAACATTTCTACATTTGGGTCTTTACTGTTTGCTGAATAAAAGTCTCCTAACCTAGGGAATGCAATGCCGCAAGATAATTCCAGTCTCGGTATTCGCGGGACTGGCTATTTCCAATCCTGCGGGATTCAGGTATTTGCGGGATCCCGCAGAATCCTGTGTGACTTTGCAAATAAATCATAATATAGTACCAGATTTAAAGGGTTTTGACTAGAATTGAACAAGTATCAATGAATTGATCGACTGGAAGTTACCGTTCTAGAACGGTTCTCATGTCGGTTGGAACAGAGCTACAGTTTCTAACATAATGATAATTATTTAAACTTGAATACCTACCTACTTAAAAGAGTAAATTTTGTTTACTTAACCAAAATTGAGAATTTGTTGCACTGCGACCCCTACACGTCCTTATTAAAAGTTGGAACAAAACTGCCAAAATTAAAAAATAGTAAAGAACTTCAAATTAGAGCGAGAAAGTTTCTCTCAGTCTCCTCACCACGATCCGTAGTCCAGTTCGCGCGTACCAGGCCCGAGTGACACCATAAGTACAGTTCTTTTCAATCCCGCAAATCCCGGCGGGATCCCGCTCAGTTTATGAGCGAGATCAGTCCCGCATATGGCGTGCGGGATCCCGGTATTTCGGGATCTCGGTATTGCATTCACTACTCCTAACCTACTGATATTAAAGTCACCAACAATAACAAAACTACCTTCATACAAGTATTCAAGGCTTTCTAGATATAAGAAAAACTCGTCTCTAGAACTCATAGAACATCTACGTGATATATAGAGTACAAAAACGTATACAGGGTGTATATTTTAAGTGATACCACTATTGCTATATCCGAAACGGTAAGGGCTACAAGGTCGGTTAAATTAGTAAAAAGTTGCCTTTTTTGATGCCCATTCAAGACTTGTTAACAGTGTTGCCAAATTCCTTTTAGTTTATGAAATACAGGGTGATTTCTAAAAAACGCCTAAAAATATTTCATCAATTATTTCGGAAACTATTGATTTTCGAGACACAAGTTGAATTTGAAAGTTTTACAATTTTTTTCGCTCTACATACAACATGGCATCTTTAAAATTTAAATCCGACGTTTCGTGATCGAGCTACCATCATCAATTTCATTTTTTTAAATATGGACCTGAATTTTTTATGTCATTTTTAGAAAATGCCCTCTATTCCCTCTTTAACGATAAACCTCTTAAATATGATTGGCCGACGTTTCTGCTCTAAAAAGTGATCATTAGTGATTTTTATCAAAATTTTACCTCAATTCGGCCCTAGTTATGAACCTGTATTTCATAAACTAAAAGGAATTTGGTAACACTGTAAACGAGTCTCGAATGTGCATCAAAAAATGCAACTTTTTTCTTATTGAATCAACCTTGTAGCTCTTACCGTTTCGGATATAGCAATAGTGGTAATATACACCCGTATATGTGAATGATCATTTACATAAAGCTTTACACCTACCATATCTATGTCAGGACACTTATAATCTAGTTTTAACAATAGGCACTTATAGGTTCCCTTTAGCCACTAATACACCTCCACCATGCTCATTCTCACATCTGTTTCGATTCTTGAAAACAACAAAATTATCTGGAAAAAGTTCACTAACTACTATATAACGTATATATTGATTTAGATACCCAAGGTTGGGGTGTTTCCCCGAGAGGTGCAGGCTATTTATTTGGATCTGATGTAGTCCAGCAATTCAATGCTGCCAACGATATAGATATGATTTGTCGTGCCCATCAGCTGGTGATGGAGGGGTACAAGTGGCATTTCAACGAGACTGTATTAACTGTGTGGTCTGCACCAAATTACTGTTACAGGTAAGTCTTTAAAAATAGACTTTTTTTTTTTAAATAATTTTTTTGAAATTTAGATGTGGCAATGTGGCAGCAATATTAGAACTCAACGAGCATCTACAGAGAGACTTTACGATATTTGAGGCGGCCCCTCAAGAAACACGTGGTATACCTTCTAAAAAGCCTCAAGCGGATTATTTCTTGTAATTTTCAGCTCAGAAGTTTTGAATTAGGATCTACTTCAGTTATATTAGGTACCTAATATAAACCGTTCTAAAGTTAATTTTTTTTTTATAGTAGTTCTGAATTCTTGTAATTGTAATAATTGTCCTTTTTGTAAGATAATATTGAAAATATTTTAAAAGACTAATGAAAGGTATCTCCGAATTAATTTATTAACTTTTTAGTTTTTTTTTTTATAGATATTCATTAGGGTAAGAAAAGATTTTTTTTTATTCATGTAAAAGTACAGGGTGTCCCACATTGTATATTCTTGTTAATCTTTCAACATACAAGAAATGTCAAACCGGAAGAAAAAAAAAATGTCAAATTATATCATTATACATATAATGTATTGAAAACAATGAGGTCAATAACGGACAACTTTTTCCTGATTCTCAAATTTCTATTACCTATTTTTATATGGGACACATTGTACAAATATTTTTATTCTTTGTTTTTTCATGTGGCCTTCATAAAACCAAAAACTGGGGGATGCCTTTCAAATTATATTTTAATTTGCCTATAATAAGATAATTTTTTTATCAATAAAACCCCCTTTTAATTAATACCAATGTGTTTTATTTGTGGAAAACAGTTGTTCCAATCATTTCAGATCAGTCATTTGTTTCTTAATTTCCCAGCATTTAATGTAAATTTATTTTTCTTGTGGAAAGTTTGTTCTGATTCTGGTTCATTCATAGGAGTAATTCTATAATCAAAGACTATGTTGAAATGGATAAGTACAGGGTAGTGCAGAGAAAATGCATGTTTTCTGAATTTCACAAGTTTCAAGAGTGACTGGGCTGGAATTCTGTAACAAATAGAGATATTAATTAGGTAACGGCCCAATTGTGGCGAATGCCTTTGCGAGTCGATTTGCTCTAATTTAATACTGGTTTATACGGTTGTTAGTAGCAATTTTTAGTGTGCCGATCAGAAAATAGATGGAGACCCTGTCTTCATTTTACTTGAAATAGAGATATTTTCCCTATCTCTATCGATGTCCTGTCTCTATTGATTTCAACATGTGCCATAGCAATAGGGATAACGATCTTTATCCATTACAGAGTCCCAGTCCTGGAGACTTATCTCACATTATGTTCTATCAATATACACTATTATCAGGTACTTCATTTAGCTGTAATTAAAACAAAAAAATGTTATGTTCATGTGAAAAACATGCCTCTCCTCTGCACCACTTTGCATGTTCTCTCAAAAATTCCACATTCAAACATATGGATGGTCAGTTCTTTGTAGATTGTAAATCAAAAACAAAACCCAAGAAAAACTTTTATTTTTGTACAAACTTAATAATCTATTATCTCAATACTGTAGAAACCATTAGCTAGTCTTCCACTACTGTAACTCTTTCCTTTTGCTTCAGCTTCAAGTTTGGATAGCACTGGAACAATTGATTTCAAACTTTCCACAACTTCTAAATGTTCTTCGACCATATTTTTACATTTTATCATAACACCTTCAATTATACTGTCTTTTGAGAGCACAAACTTTTGATAGTTAGAATCCAGAACTAAACTTGTCCATTTTATCAAGCATTCTTCTGTTTTTGAAGCGTTCATCGATGGCAAATTGTGACCTTCTTCAGATAATTGTAGAATTAGGTATTGTAAAAGCAATACAGCTTCGTCTACAGATAATTGACTTTTTAAATGAGGTAATAAGAGAATATCACTGAAAGGTCTTGCTAAAACTTTATCTAGCAAAGCAATTCGTTGATTGGGCAATAATTCTTCAGGGATTTGATTGTATTCCTTAGTATCAGATTTGGTAAACTTCTTTTTATTACACACCAGTAATAACTGTAAAATTTTTGCTAAAAATGCTTCAGGAATGTCAGTGAATGCTCTTAAACAATCTTCCATTAACTTAATGTTGCTCTCTTCTAAAATTTCTGGAATAATTTGCTCCAAAATTAAAGCTTCTGGTAGGCCTTCTTTGTAATATTCTTCCAGTTTACTTGTAAAACTACTATTAGCTTTTTGCTTTTGCAACTTTTTATTTTTTTTCTTCTTAGTAGCTACATTTTCTTCATTATTCCAATTAGCAACTTCATATTCGGTAACAAAAGCAATATCAGAGTCAATTTTTGTTTGTACTGGTTTATGGCTTCCAATTAAAGCCACCAACTGTTCACAATCTAAATTGAAAGGCACTACAATCAGATTCTGTCCAACAGGAAGTAAAATAAAGTTATAAGTCCTCCATAGTTTTGCATCATTAGCGTACAATTTATGTATTTGCTTTGATTGAGTAACTTTAAACTGTGTATTATAAATTAAAAGTATAGCACCTTCTTCATTGGGATCTGAGCCATAAATGGCAATATATTTATCATCTAAAGGAACAATTTTGACAAAATGCTCTGCAGAAATGTTTTCTAGTATTATAAATAGCTCCCCCAAGTCTGATTGTTCTTTATCATGTCTCACTAGTTCTTTTTTGTAAATTTTTGCATTGTCCCATATTGTTAACAAATGTACTTTTTTATTGCTCGCAAATAGGGAGTAACCTTTCAAGACATCTTCATTGATTAAATTTTCTTTTGAAAAGGCATTTTTTGAATAGTAGGTATAAATTGTCCAGTAAAATGTAAAACCCTCTAGTGTTTTTGATAAAAAGCCTACATACAAGTCTTCCTCTAAGGATATATGGAGAACATCATGGATTTCTACATCTTCACTTATTGTAGCTGGTGTAAAAGTTTTTCGATCTTCTAATATTTCATTTAAAGGGTAAACGGAGCCAGTTTTAAATACAACAAATGTTTCACCATTGTGATTTATAATGGTGTGAATTGGATGGTTAAATTTATACTTTTTAACTTTATCCAAAGTTTCCTCGTCTTCAGACCAAATCCGCACAAATGTCTGGTTGAATACTGCTACATATTTTTCCAGTTTCTTGTCGTACTGCACCAGGGAACTGAACTTTTCTTTGCTTCTCCAACTGCATATTTGTTTTTGATCGGACAATCTGTACTTGATTGCTATATTTCGGCCCAACGTGACTATAACAATACCTTTTTCTGTATCTTCGGCTATTCCTAATAAATTTTTCGTGTCGATTAGGGGGCACAAACGGTAATAAGATAGTAATTTTGCCATGTTTACTTGGATATTTTGTAAAAAATGTTAAATGACTGAAACATAACCCAAGAAAATAGACACGTGAAGTTTGAATGGGGAACATTCTATGAACAGTTGTTGATGTGGACATCTCAGAGTAGGTTTTTGGTGCAGCACTTTCTGCACCGAGGGCGATCAGTGATCAGTGCCGCAACTTCTGGATTGCGGCACGATGCGGTTCAAACATTGTGTGGTTATTTGCCATTTTTATGATCAACTAAATTCCCTAGGAAGCCTTTAATAATTTTCAAATTATGTCTGAGCAGCACAGGAAATTTAAATACTTGATCGCGTAGTTCGCCGGAGGCATGAGCGCAGCTTCTAGCCAGCGTTCAAAATCATGACGTCACAAGACGAACTATATTAGTTGTATTCCTTTCAAGAGTTTGAAACACTCGAGCTACTTGCTCCTGTGTTTAGTAGCCCCCGATTTGCAGGGAACAGATGCGTGGTGCAACAAACACTTTTCGAAAGAAATAAGCGCGTGAAGCCCCGGAGCTGTTCCGGACCTCCTCCTAGGTGTGAAAGGAATACAACTATTATGGTTCGTTCTTGGATGAACTACGAACTACATTCACCGCGAAAATTCGGTTCAGTGATTTTAAATAGAAGAACGAGATTTTAAATGGTGGAATTGGTTGATTGGATGCGACGCCAGTGCTAATTTTACCTTTAATTGGATATCTCATAGCGGACTTCTGGAGCAGCACTTCTTGAAATCTCCAAACAGCACAGGAATTTTAATAAATATTTAAATAGCGAAATTGGTTGACTGGATGTGACACTGCGCTGTTGTAAATTAGTGCCGACAAAAACGAAAACGCCTATATGGTAACATAAAGTCAAGGATAATACACACTTCTACAGGATAGCTTATCGTCATAAGGCCTGTAAAGATCAAATCTCATTGTCCAATCTCAAGCCCCCCACCACGACAAAGAACCATTGATGATGTGGCAGCGTGTCGTTTCTCACCTTGACGTAGGGTGTTTGCACCACGCTATGATTTCGCGGGCGTTTGCTTTTATGCATATTTGGTTTTAGTACATTTTAACATTCTAAGGGCCGGTTTATTGATAGAGGGTTACCTCATGAGTTACGGATAACGTTGGGTCAAAGCTGTGATAAGTGTTTATCCATCCAGCGGTCAACTCCTAGCTCGAAAGCTATTCCAGGAAACACTTAATCTGCGCACTCACGGCAAGTTAGCGTATTTGACCCTGGGCTAACCTTAAAATTTTCTCTTATTTTCTATCTGAATTTTTTTTAAAAGTGGTGGTTTCTGTTTGAATTTTGATATTGTAAACTGAAGAGATGGAGGACCAAGATTTCAGTGATGATGATCGAGATGTTCTAGAATGTCTAGAGCATGCATGAGCGGTGCCTTCTACCACGTGAGGTTGCGGTCGAATCCTTTTGAGGATTTTGACGACGTCAACTTCTTTGCCTGTTTTCGCTCGCGAAAAGAAAACAATTTTATTAGTTCTTGAACAAATCGAGCATAGACTTGAATTCCCAACAAACCTATGATCAGGGCTGGGATCAGGTTGCCTAGTAACCGTCATCATCGCCTGTACTGTATTACGCGATAAATAGGTCGCGGATGATGCCATGAAAGTGGAATTCTACTTTCATGACGTCAGGTTGCCTAGCAACTATCATCATCTTATGTACTGTACGCGATAAATTAATCGCGGGTGACGTCATGAAAGTAGAATTCTACTCGTCCTGATCTTAGCCCTTGTTTATAGATTTTCGATTTGTTTCGTAGAGGAATGTCGCAAAATAGGGTAGCACTGTGCGACTTTGGTATGAATGGAACATGGAAAACGCAAGTTGCAACGTGTTACCTGGGCTGGGATCCCGACAAATAGAATTCCAGTAGAATTCTACTTTTATGACGTCAGGTTGCTTAGCAACTATTCAGGTCTGTTTCTGCAGAAATCACAAACCAGTCGGAGCGAATTTCATGGGTCGAAAACAGTCAGAAAGCTAGTTTCAACCAATGAAATTCATTCTGACTGGTTTGTGATTTCTGCAGAAACAGACCTATTATCGCATATACTGTACGCGATAAATAGGTCGCGGGTAACGTCATAAAAGTAGAATTCTACTCGTCTTGATCCCAGCCCTGCTCTTTAGCAGCAACGCCGTATGAAAAAAAAAAGAGAAAAATAACATAAATAAGTGAGTTTAGGAGAAGAAAATGTAAAAAAACAATAAAAGTGAGCTGGCAACACAGCGATTTATCGGTAGATCTACCGATTTCAAATGTGTCTACCGATCTCCCGATTTTAAACCATTTTCTCACGAATTTTCTGCAATTTATTGGTAATGCAACAAATTTGTAGATATATATTTTATTTAAAATAAAAAATAAAATTGTTTCTCAATCCGCAAGAAAATCTGGTATACTCGAGGATCAAGAACACATAATTTCTTTTGTGAGGAAAGACCGAAAATCACCTTTTCTAGATTTAAAATGGACGAAAAAATTAACTCATTAGCACAGCCTGAATCCTAAGCATTCCACTGTGGTCTGCGGGTGACGTCATCACTATTAGCTGCTGGTAGTGACGTCACTCGCAGGCTCAGAATTAAATGGTGAGGGTGTCAGGATAGTATGACACAATTGACACATAACATTTGAGCATAATCAGATTATGTTTGATTATGCTCGCGAAAAATTTCCAAATATACAGGGGGACACCCACGAGGTTTTTCCCAAATAATATCTTCGGAACGCATCATCGTATGTTCCACTGTATAATTATTTAACATTTTCTTTAAAAAAGCCTTAACAAATATGGCATTGCCGATTTAGTTATTTAATTTTCTAACGAAAAATGCCATAATATACCATGAGTTATTTAAGATTCGAAAGTTGACGTCACTTGACCGAAATTGAAGTGAAAGTGGTGAAATTGGATGACAATGGTAGAAGCGGCACAAAAAGTTACCCAGATCCTCAAAATTTCAATTATATTGGATGACGCGTTCCGAAGTTATTACATGGGAAAAACGTCGTGGGACACCCTGTATAATAGCGGCTGAGTGGTGAACTGCATTGAAATCTTGAAATTTTTACGTTGCATTTTTGCCTACGGAGAAATAGGAATCACATTGCACAATAAAATTATGACTAAATTTATTGATTGGTTTTATGTACCTAAGCAAATTGTGGCGGAATGACGTCATATGACGCAACCGCCTAGTTACCGATTTGTAAACGAAAACTACCGATTTTTTCTCCAAGAACTTCATTCCGTCAGAAGTGGCAGCACTGTGGCAACATTGCATAAGTAATGCCAACCTTCGAAGAACCCGAGAGTTTACCAGCCCTGGGTTAAAAAAGCTTGGATAAACACCTTTCGACCTAACGTTTTTTCAAGATATTGTTTGCATCTTCCTCTTTGCCTATTATGTTAATCAAAATTAAATAATATTTACATCATAAATTAATAGTTATTTATGTATCAAGGGAATTATGCAGGTGTTAATATCCCAGGGCAACGTTTGTGTCCCGAGGGCCGCCGGCCCGAGGGACACCAATTGCCCGTGGGTATTAACTCCTGATAATTCCCGTGGTACATAGATAATTTTATATCCTACTGAATTTACTGTATTCTGTCTATTTTTATAAAGGAATAAGCCATAATTCAAAATTTCTATTTTTTGTCAAAGTGTTACCTATTCAACGTAAAAGCGGGAGTTATGGAAATCCTTAACTCCCTTGGGAGTTATGTTATCCTTAACTCCCTTCCTTAACTCCCTTGGGAGTTATGAAAATCCTTAACTCCCTTGGGAGTTAAGACCCTGTTTATGATTATCGTAACCAAGGTATTATATGGTTTTAATAGTTCAGTAGGATATAAATGTATATTTTCAACTACGAACGCTGGCGGAAACTGCTAATGTCACTACTAATAAAACACCGTTGATGACGTCAACAATGGTGCATCACCGTATGACCTTGATTTCAAAAATCGAGGCCGATGAGCAATCCGTGTAATATCCTTACGTAGAACATTTTATTGAAAATATGTGATACATATTCATTAAATTTTTATAAGGTTGATTATGAATTTAAACAAATATCTAATTATCAAATTTAATTAATTGCAGTCATTCAAACTCGTCCAAAAGTACAACATTATTCAGATTTTGTAAAAAAAGACAACCGACGCCAAACTTGAGTCGACGACGCGACGTCTGCGTCTGAAACTGGGACGCTTGCTTTGCACAGTGTTGCCGATTGTCCGATAATTATCAGGAAATACCACTGACTAACATTTGTTGATAATCTAATTGATAACAATGGAACCATGATAATAATAATCCACCTTGATTATTAATAGTTCATTATATACCTAGGTAGAGAAGTTGGTCATTATATACCGAGCGCTTTTATAAACCGAGGCGCAAAGCGCCGAGGTTTATAATGCGTAAGGTATATAATCACTTTCTCTACCGAGGGATATATAGAATTTTTTTTACTACTGCTAGTAGAAAATAAAAAATAGGTTTGAAACCTGTGCTCAAATTATTTTCTCTTGTCGGAAGTGCTGCCCTCTATCAACAGCTTACGGTAGTTTCCTATGATGTACATACAGGAACCTGCTTTTTTTAAAATTGACAGTTTGACACTGAAATTAAACCATAGAAACCTGTTACGTTATGACAATATCCTTGCGTCATGACGGCATTTTCGTTATTGACCTAGGTATTTTTTCATAATTTTCATTATTAGCCTAGGGAGAGAAATTCAATTTTTTCCCAGAAAAATTGATGGAATAATAGGTCTGTTTCTGCAGAAATCACAAACCAGTCAGAGTGAATTTCATTGGTTGAAACTAGTTTTCTGACTGTTTCTGACTGTTTTCAACCAACTACTTCTCAGGTTAGTAATAAAAAAACTACTTGTACTGGTGCGTGACATTTTATGTCTTCTAAAAGGTGGGTAACGTAAGTACTTTACGCGCGGTAGTGGACAAAAACAATTATTGCGCCTTCATTTAT